CATTCCGAGCATGTGGGCACTCAGTTACATCAGAGGAGTGCCCAGGAGTTCAATTTTGATTTGAGTGCGTTTCTGGATTAAATTATGGTTTATTTTCACATCAAGTGTTTTGTGAACTTTTGCATTTGCAGATGAGATGCATTTTTTACCCCAGCTTGTTTAATAAGAAATTTGAGTTGTATCTCTTATTGAGTACTACTTGATGGTTCTGCTACATTCTCGTCTTTGATAAATATACAAAGGTACATGGCAAAGGATAATATGCATAGGTTGCACTACAGTCATATGCAAGGGATTGGGAGAATAGAAATTTCACCTGCAACCTACCCTGCAGTAACACATGACTATAATGGATCAGATGGTCAGTCTCAGTGACCAAGTTGTCATAGTTTCAACTTGCATGGATCATTTTTCATTATGTGAATAACTGGCTTGGTCGCCATACGAAACTGCTAACAGAATTACTTGTAAGGCAAGAAGAAGTCTTAAACTACTCAAATATATTTTAGGCACATAGGAATGTTATACATTCTTTTAACAATGGAGTGTTTTATTAAAATATAAAGCCCTTTAAGTTTGTGTTTGCTGAAATTGTTGCTTAAAATATTAATCCAACACGTACATACATCACCGTGAGAAATGTTCATGAATACATGCCCTTGAGGTATTTAGGTACTCCACATACCCCCATCACAACAACTTGTTTTTCATGGTAATACTATCTTGTAAAACACATGTGATAGTGAAGGACCAAGCCTGCAGCCCTGGTGAAGACCTGATTGTGGAAACAACAACATATTGTTTATGACTGCGTTTGATGGATAGTGTCTTTTTTAGGAGGAGTCTGGCCTCAGTTTATGAGTCAAGTGTTTATGTGAGTCACAACTGGACAGTTATTGTTGACTGACATGGGACGCATATGATTGCATTTGAGGGAATGGTTCTGATCAGGGAATGAGGAAAACTTTCATGGGTTTGTAGCCCTGCTCCAAGGCTGTAGATAGTAATTCTATCCTTCGAAGAGGCAAGTCTAGATAGGTGGACCCCAGTCTGTTATTTATTATTTTTTAGAAATTATCATTTAAACTAGGAACTTTTACCTTAGAAACTTGTGCAAGTCTAATGGGTTTGCTGTAACACTTATTTAACCTACATAAATAGAAACTTGTAGAGTACAGCTTAATGAGTGATATGAAGGCTTTACACAAAAAATACCTGCTTGCCTGGCACAACGCACAGGAAATATAGTAACGCTTCAGGGAACTTTACCACTTCTTTAAACCCAATTAGTGCTTTCAGTGTTTATCTGGGAATGATGGAAGTAATTCTGTTCGTTTAGTTCTATTTTAGTTCAATAGTAATAAGTAAGTAATTATTTGCATTATCAGGTGGCTGAAACTGTTGAAATTGTATTATATTAAATACTGAATCATGAGTGGGTTTTGTTTATGCTCCTAGAAATATGATAGTGGGAGATTACAGAGTGAGTGAGTTTAGTTTTACGCCGCACTCAGCAATATTCCAGCTATATAGCGGCTGTCTGCAAATAATCGAGTCTGGACCAGACAATCCTGTGATCAACAGTATGAGCATTGATCTACGCAATTGGGATATGATGACATGTGTCAACCAAGTCAGCGAGCCTGACCACCTGATCCCTTTAGTCGCCCCTTAAGACAAGCATGGGTTGCTGAAGACCAATTCTAACCCGGATCTTCACGGGTAGAGATTATAGAGAGATTATGTGGGCTTCTCACATTGGACAACAGTGGAAACAAGATCAGACCATCGGCATGATAAGCAAGTAATGATCTGCACTGTACACCAAATTCTCACAGAATACAATTTGATTATTAATGAATGGCATTTATGATGCTAAAGCACACCTGGCTAATTATGTCTATTTGTCTGTAACAGACACCTTCAACACACCACAAGGACTGGTGTGATCTGTGACATTCAACCAAAACAATTTCAGTTATGGTGAGCGAGTGAGAGTGAGAGAGTATGTTTTTATTCCACTTTTAGCATAATTCCAGCAATATCACCAGACACCAGAAAATGGCTTGACACATTGTACCCATGTGGGGATCAAACCTGGGTCTTCGACACTTTAACCGCTGCCCATTTCATTTATGGAACTTATACAGTGTTTGTGTGACTGAAATACATTGGAGTTGTTAATGTAGAAAGCCTTGTGTGACATGTGGAAATTGTTGTGGTCTCATCATCAGAGATATAAGCATCACTTGATGAGTTTTAGGAAGAGCATGGTGAAGAAGTGCTTAATTCCCAGGGCATGCCAATGTGGGTGGGTGGTTAAAATTCCGTATCCTGTGATTCACATTTCCTATGATTGCACCTATACAGGGTTCCAGTGTTTTAAAACAGCTTCAAGATATGATCACACGAAACTGGAGTTTGTAAGATTGTTTTGATTGATCAAATATATGACAGAAATGTTTAAGTTATGACATTTTAAATCTACCCCCACTGAGATGCAATCAGAATGTAATTCTTTAATGTTTTATTTACTTATAAGCAGCAGAATCTCTGCACGATGACACAATCAGGAGAATCCAATATGAACATGTATATTTTCAGCAAAGTTAGTAAACAGGCTCGCTGACACTGGATATTATGGTCCACCGATATCTCAACTGTCTGGTTTGTTTACAGCCCGCTGTCACATGGCAGGGTTACTACTGTGTGGCTTTAAAGCAACAGGGTAGCCTATTGGTTAAAGCATTTGCTCGTTCATGACAAAAGCCCGGGTTCAATTCCCCACAATGGTACAAAAGTGAAGCCCATTTCTCGTGTCCCCCGCTGTGATATTGCTGGAATATTGCTAAATGCAATGTAAAATTATACTCACTCACTCACTCAATATGTTTTATAAAAATAGTGGCATTGGGACAGGACATCCTTACCCGTTACATAATGACATGTTATCACTAATTTTCAGTGATCATTTCATGGTATTTTCACTATATTTTGCCTTTCACACCAATAGAATCTGTTTCACCTTTCACACCCAATAGAATCTGTTTCACCTTTCACACCCAATAGAATCTATTTCACCTTTCACACCCAATAGAATCTGTTTCACCTTTCACACCAATAGAATCTGTTTCACCTTTCACACCCAATAGAATCTATTTCACCTTTCACACCCAATAGAATCTGTTTCTGTGTGTAACTAAGACTGTTCTGAGGCATTCACATTTCATATTTCCATCACAGTACGTTTTTTTTTGTAACTAATGGGGCTTGGGGGCATCCAGGGATTTTAGATTTTCAAGGAAACTAACAGAGTTTCATAAAAATATATCCAAAAGATGTTTTTCGAATTTGATAAAAAGTCATAAGATGTCGTCAAGCTTTTTGTCTTTGGCAGCATAACAGGGTCCCTAGGGCTCTATAGGTCTTCGTCTATGGTATTTGGATCTAGGAACCCCCTAAATCTTAACTTTTTACATTAGGTCTATGACAGGGGCTGTTAACCTTGTTGCTTAATTTCAAACACTGCTGTTTGAAGCTGTTTGATTACAACCATATATTCTTTTTGCATGTTTAGGCTAGTTCATATGTAAATAGGGTTTGATGTGAGCACAAACGGTAAAATCATTATATTTATTTAAAAACTTTTCTCTTAAAACATATGCCGGTTTTATTTTAACGTAATAACAGTGGTTCCAATTGGTGAAATATATGGTGATGTATATCAAAGAAATATAGACTGGAAATGAAATAAGAAATGTAAGCTGTATACCATATTCCTCCTAATACGCTCCCAGGGCCTAAGCAATGTTAGTGGTAAGACAATCGGAATGCCAACTTAGATTAATGACACCGATAGCACAATCGGAACGCCAACTTAGATTAATGACACCGATAACACTGAATAAGACACTGTATGGAAAAATGCCTTGGATGGTGAAGAACAGTCTGGTTGGACAGTCTTAATAAACCCGCATAACACTTCAAAAGTGGTGGTTAAGAGAGCTGAATGTTAAGACATCAGTTTTTTAGTGAAGCAGATCCTGACAGCTAAAAAGAATATTTAGTTTTGACTTTCTTTACTGGCCAAAATCACCTGCTTAAACAGCGATTAAGGAAATCTGGTCTAGAATCATAGTCAGCAAGAAAAAATCTTGCTGACTTAGGAAGCTGAGGATTGAAGGTTAATGGTGATGGGTACAGCAGATGGGAGGAGTGGTTTGTCATGGAAGAAACTTCCAGAAAAACTAAATGTTTGTTGTTGTGCACGGCAGTCCATCACCAACAGCATTAACATGGCTGATCAAAAACAAGTGTATTGTTTTGTAAATGAATCAGGCCCTGAAACTCTCATTGCAGATGTTTAGTGATATGGTATTTTAAACATAGCTATAAGAACATGTATAATGTGAGAGTTCTGTGTTTGATGAAAATCAGAATGGGTATTGTGTAAGTGAGATATACTGCAACACTTGGGAAAAATGGCCACAAAAATCAGATGTTTTTTTTAGGAATTTTGGCATGACTTAATCAGAAACAACGTTGTCATGTGGGTTTGATTCTCATTCTCTGTGCTTTGACATTGACTTCAGCACAAGAACACATATTTTCTCTTTTCGAGTTAGAGTTGATAATGCGATTGAAGTTTCTGTATACTAAATGTCATTTTAAATAATGGCATTGTGCGTATAACAGTTTTTAACGGGATGATGTAGGTTTTGTTAAAATATATAATCGAAACATTTACACAATATATTTATGTATATTCTAAAGAATTCCATACATATATGTACAAATAATAAAACCATGTTCCTGTCTTAAAACAGAGCTTCTTAAGATTATTTCTAAAGTGATAGAGATGATAATTAGTCATCATCAGAAGTTTTGATATCAAAACCTTGATTTATGAAAATTCAGAGTGTATTTTAAATAAAACACATGTTAATTAAGGAGAAAAATAGCTACGGAATAATGTAATTAAAGAAGATCATTAACCTCACCTGCATGTAATTATGATTCCAGTTAGAAATGGCAGTATAATCCGATTGATGTGACAGTGTGACAGCTAGTCTGGTCAGTCGGGCAGAGCATGGCGCACTGTAGGATGGTAGGGGAGCTTGAAGCATGGCAGATACATCCCTCTATAGTCTGTTTCACTGGAGGGACAACTCTCACAGATGTATGCTTTGTTTCAATATTTAGTGTGTGAGTGTTACAGTAGTTTTTGGACCAGTTGTGTACAAAAAATAGATGGACGACTATTGGATGACATGGTCATGCTAAAAGTGATGTTCCATAGAGAAATTCATTCTAAGATAATCATTGCTATGCGTGAGTGATTTCAGCTCGACTTAACTCTGACCTTGGCTTTGGTGATGCTGGAAAAAGCCTTGTAATAACAATCAGTGAGGAAACCTCTGGTCTGAAGCTGGATTCAAAGCCCATTCCTTGATGTTCTCAACTTTGATATTGTTTTAGTACTGCAAGTAGCACTACAACACCCTACCCACATATGAACTAATGAGTGTCCGAATGGCCTGAGGTGCATCTGTTGTGAAGTCATCGGTGGCCCAATGGTCTGAGGTGCATCTGTTGTGAAGTCATGGGTGGCCCAATGGTCTGAGGTGCATCTGTTGTGAAGTCATGGGTGGCCCAATGGTCTGAGTTTCATCTGTTGTGAAGTCATGGGTGGCCCAATGGTCTGAGGTGCATCTGTTGTGAAGTCATGGGTGGCCCAATGGTCTGAGGTGCATCTGTTGTGAAGTCATGGCCCAATGGTGGTCCAATGGTCTGAGGTGCATCTGTTGTGAAGTCATCAGTCATGGGTGGCCCAATGGTGTGAGGTGCATCTGTTGTGAAGTCATGGGTGGCCCAATGGTGTGAGGTGCATCTGTTGTGAAGTTATCAGTGGCCCAATGGTGTGAGGTGCATCTGTTGTGAAGTCATGGGTGGCCCAATGGTCTGAGGTGCATCTGGTATGAACCAAGGGCAGAATGGCAGAGTCATCATGCTAAGATGCAGATCCTTGCTCATGCTTTCAGTTCATGTAGTCTAGGCAGACATGATATATCAGAGTTTAGAAACATGCATTTACACTTTGAGCGATTAAGTTGGAAAGTATGCTGAAAGTCATTGGAAATTCCAAGATGGAATAAATCCATCTGGAGGACTAAAAGGCTCAATGTGAGATGACACTGGTGATATAATACCATCAGTGGATACTAGTTCAGTTATATTTGGTTGCTGTGCTTTTGGGATCCGAGGCTTGATGAGGAGTTATGTCCCTTTCCGCTATCAGTATCTGCCAGGTGTGTGTTCCAACCATTCAATCATGCTTTTTATGATCCTTGATCCTGGGCTCGATTCCCCACATGGGTACAATGTGTGTCCCCCCACCATGATATTGCTGGAATATTGCTAAAAGCTGTGTAAAACTAAAACTCAGTCAGTACAACCTCAAATCATGCTCCTTGATCCTGGGTTCGATTCCCCACAGCTCAGCTGATATTGCTGGAATATTGCTAATAGTGGGGTACAACTCAAATCACTCAGCTCAGCTTAGGTCAGGTCAGGTCAGCTCAGCTCAGCTCAGCTCACTCAGGTTTAGATCCAAGATAGTCACAGGTTCCAGTAGTTAATCAGAAAGTGAGTGGCAGAGTCTGTCAGTGATCCTGATCATCTCCCCGGGACTGGTGATGTAAGGATAGAGTAGGTAATGTTTACACCAGTACAGACGGAAAGTCTTGGCCTGGACATGGCAAATACATTAGTTGGTGTAGAGTTAATCCACCTGTTACTGCTCAGGGAGTTGATGGGTGACCTTGATCAGGGTCACAGCTCCATGAGCTCATCGGCTGGGGTTGTTACTCACAGTCATGATGCCTCTACAGAACTGTACTGGAACACCTTGCGTAGGTGTGGTTGTAATCTCCTAATTTAGTCTCTACCAAGAGCTTGGACCACAGACTTTATGAAACAGTCTTTTCATTCATTTCTTATATCTAGCATTGAATTCTAAGCTTTATATAATTTAAGCATCCCATTCTAAAACCTTCTCAACTTCAGCATCCCGTTCTCATTCGTTCTCAGCTCTCAACATCTCCTTAATTTTAGCATCCCATTGTCAACTGTTCTCATCTGCATCCCATTCTCAAATTGAGCATCCTATTCTCAATTCAAGCATACCATTTTCATCCCCTTTTCAACTCAAGCATACCATTTTCATCCCATTTTCAATTCAAGCATACCATTTTCATCCCCTTTTCAACTCAAGCATACCATTTTCATCCCCTTTTCAACTCAAGTATCCAATTTTTATCCCCTGCTCCACACAGCATCCTCCAATTCTCAGCTTTCAGCATCCCTTTCTCAAATGTCACTTGTGGGTGAACAAGCAACATTAGAATTCCTGTGCATCCACATTTGACAACAAAATACACAGTTATCTCCCTAGCTTCCAGGATGTTCTTGTCATTGGTTCTAATCCCAGTGTGATCCAGTTATGATCTTTGGTGTTTTAGCCCCTCAACTTTCACCTGTAACATGACCTGCATCTATGTGGGGCGGTGGGGTAGCCTAGTGGTTCGCGTTCGCTCGTCACGCCGAAGACCCGGGTTCAATTCCCCACATGGGTACAATGTGTGAAGCCCATTTCTGGTGTCCCCCGCCGTGATATTGCTGGAATATTGCTAAAAGCGGCGTAAAACCATACTCACTCACTGCATCTATGTATTTTCTCAAACATGACTGACCCTAACTGAAGTGCTGTTTGCTAAGTGTTAGTAGGACTAATCTCAGTGATTGGATGTCTTTTTCACAAGGCTGTTAAAGAGAAATGTAAGTCCATACACAATTTTCCTTATAATAATGGAAGGTGGTTTTAGCAGATCTCTTATGATTAGGGAACGGATTTTGTTGCTTTTTCTTAATTCACGAAGGAGAAACAAATAACATTAAGACCAATTAGGGAAACATGACCTTGCAACAGTTTTGTTATTCATAGAATTGGGGTAGAATAGGTCCCTTAGCAGCCAGGGCTTGTCTTTACAAAGTGACTTCCAGGATCCGATGATCAGACCTGGTGATTCAGTGGATTGTGAGTCATCACGCCCTGACAGTGTGGATATTTCTTCACAGGTTCTATCTCTGAGTGGTCAGGTCCGGTTTCAGTTATTTACAGGCTGCCATCATGCAGGAATATTGCTGAGTGTGTCATTTAACAGCAAACAAATGTTATTATATGTCGAATGACATTCACTGTCAGTCCTTGCAGTCTTGGTGTGAACCTCATGGGAATATAATGGCTTTAAACATGATTAAGCATGATGAATAGTTGTTATTGCCTGTTTCAGCAGCCGTCTGCTTGGAGACAGTTTCCAGCATTGTGCTAAAGATATTAACAATATGTTTTTTGCTTTCAACCTTGAAATATGTTTGTTGTGATTCAACCAGAACATGTTTTCCTTTGGTTTGGAGCCTCAGCAATGTAATGAGGAGGTTCACATGCGTTCACGAGTCTTCATCATCCGACCTTGACAAGTGGTGCGCCTACTGAATGAGGGAATGAAAGACGAATGTATTTGACACGTGGCTTGTAGGAAGCAGATAGGATCAAATTGTGTTTGAAGAAATCGTTAATAAAGAGTTAGAAATATATGGAAAAGTTTCGTGATGATGACTTGGGAAATACCAAACTGTTGCTTGGTGCCTTTAAAAAAACACCTACGTATTGTTAAGTCGAACCTTAAATGATCATAAATCTTCGGCTAATACACTTGCATGGAACCGCTTGGCACTGATTTTGCAATTGATCAGTCATGGTGTCAAAGAACTTTGGCTACACTTTTGACAACTTGACACGAGTCAGATAGTATTTGTCTCCTTGATTGAAGGTTTAGCGTTGTATCTATGGTGGATGCAGATTAACATGGCTGCTCATACCACTGATTGCTTCATTGTGAGAAGATGGCTGATAGATATGTCTGATGTACATGATGAGGCAATGCAATCGCACACACTGGTGGTGCTCAGACGTAAATATCCTGATTGAGGGCAAGAGCGAGGCACCACAGAGGTGCAAATATCTCTTCGATCTACCAGAACAGTTTCTTGCTTTGGGAAAGAGAAAATAGTAAAACTATTGTCAGGGTTGATTTCAGAAATTTATGATAAATGAATTGAAGTAAGAATTAAATTGGAAATAACATTTTAATTAAGTCACATTTTAAATACTTTTTTTGAACTTTTGTGAAAGGTATGAAGATCTTATTTGTAAAACAAAGGCATAACATGATCTGGAAGTGTTTTTCCAAGGCATTAGTTCTTTGGAAAATATTATCGATAAACATGTAAGACAAAGAGGTCTATTGACAAATAGTACCAAAATACAGGATTTGCGATAGTCAGCCAGGTTGGTTGGTTGATTTGTTGTTTAATGCCATTCTCAGCAATATTCCAGCTATATGATGGCTGTCTGTAGATAATCAAGTCTGGACCAGACAATCCAGTGATTAACATCGTGAGCATCGATCTACGCAATTGTGATACGATTACATGTGTCAAGGAAGTCAGCAAGCCTGTCCATGTCTGCCAGGTAGGATTACAGAATGGAATCTGTACCCAGCAGCCAATTCTGATTGTTAAAACAGGCTACTGAACTGATGGGTGGTCAGACTCGGTGTCTTGGTTGATGGTTTGTCATTACACACAGGCATCAGTCATTGGATTATTTGGTCCAAACTTAATTATTCTCAGGCACTGTCATACAGATAGAATAGTTCTGTGCCATTAAACAAGAAACGTCACAAATATTCTAGAAGACATGGAAATATTGGTTAAATATATCTCTTAACTAAAGACCTCAGTAAAATGATGGCTGTTTTAATGATCATGCGGATCGAGTTCTCAGATTGTTCCTGGTGCATATTTTCAATGTCCTTCACTGATGCAGGGCGATAGTAGAGTGCAAGGGGCTTGATACTGATCCGTCAAGCTCCTGTCTAAGATTAATGTCTGATTTAATTCTCAGCTGCCAACACTGATAGAACTCAGCCACTGAACCTTATTGCACTTGATAACAATGTCAATAAAGTTCCAGCCAGTCACTGTACAAGAATCTGCTGGTGCTCCGTGGCTTGACTGCATGTTCTTAACACTTTGTTGTGAAGTGATTAATCGTCTTGTTGTTGCTTTAAAGATATAAAAGGTGATGAAAGGAAAAAGGAAATCTTTGATACACTTTTCTGATACCTTTTTTTAATTACTACAGACTCTTAGAAAGATGTTAACATGAGATATTACTCTACGTAATTATGTTGGAAAGAGAATTCACTGTAAAGTTCAAGATGTGGAGTGAAGTATATAAAATGATGTTGAACATAGAGTTATGTCCCTTTGTCATTTCATACCCAGTTTCGTGGTTTTTCACGTGGAAAGTGGTTTGTTGTTTATTTTGGTTTGACCTGCACTCAGCAATCTTCCATCTATATGAGTCTTTAAGATACAAATCTGGACAGAGATGGTTGATTATTTAATTAATTATGGACCTGCCAACCAGTGAATGACATTATGAATGCCAATCTTTGTAATTTGGATTTAATGACATGCATCAACCAGGTCACCAAGCCAGACCTCTTGATCCTTATGTTATGTTAAGCCCAATGATGTATAACTGTAATATGGCTGACTATAATATTAAGTCCATTGTGGTATAAGTGTAATATGACTGTGATATCAACCATTATGTAGTATAAATGTAATATGGCTTTGATATCAACCATAATGTAGTGTAACTGTAATATGCCTGTGATATCAACCCAAATGTAGTATAACTGTAAGTAACCTGACTATGATATCAAGCCCAGTGTGATATAAGGGCAATGATGCTGACTGTTGAATCCAATTTGATATGAATTAAATTCATATTTCTTTCATATGAACCCAAGTGTTAATTTACTGTCATTTTACCGATTTGAACAAAAATGCCATATTTGATATCTCAGATGGGCTTGGTGCCTCAAGTGGATGCACATTCTTCACATTGACATTAGTGGACTGAGACCAATCTGAACATACTTCACATACACTTGGGAGCACCATGCATAGCTCAGAATCTATTTCCTTTGTTTCCTCTCCGATCCTTGAGATTCTCAGCTTTTAAGTGTATTGTTTATGGGCAACATGACATGGATATTAACATTACAAACTTGAAAACAAACAAACACACTGTGTGAGTCAAACACACAATGTTCCACCCTCCTATGTTCAGATGTGTGATCTCATGTTGTAGTTGGTGTCTGATTGGGGACTTGATGAGGGTATTCTGTGTCACTGAGTGCCCTCACTGGGGGCTCTGGAGACAGGGGAGGGGAACCTGCTTGGAGGGTGACGGTGGGGGCGTGGAATGTGGAATTCCTGGCACTTGTCCTCTTCTGATGCTGTGTGATATTGATGATTCATCTGTTCTTGTTTAGGAGGGGTGGGAGTATGGGGCTGATATGAGGCTGTGATAAGGAGTAGTTGTATATAGCTGTTATTCAACACGCACAAAAATAGTCACCACTCACAGACATAGTGTAGATACAATGTATCATTTAGAAGTTACTGATGATGAAAGGGATTGTTACATTTGAGTTTTGTAGGTATGTTAGCAAGAACAATGATGTTGATGATGATGATGATGATGATAGACAGACATTTTATGGTTATAGAACTGATGATGATGGTGGTGGCTTTTGTTTTCCTTTTTCCTTTCTTCAATCCTTTCTTTAATCTTTTTTTCTGATTATTTCTATCAACTGTTTAGCACCCTAAACATGCACCCGTCACACATTATAGTGGAACACCTGTCATTCATCTTGACGAAGCACCTGTAACATATGATAGAGCACCTGTAACACATGATGAAACACTCGTAACATATACCTGTCATTCATCTTGACGGAGCACCTGTAACACATGATGAAGCACCTGTAACATGCACCTGTAACACATGATGAAACATCCATAACATATTCCTGTCATTCATCGTGATGATCACCTGTTACACACATGATAGAGCACCTGTAACATATGATGAAACACTTGTAACATATACCTGTCATTCATCGTGACTGAGCACCTGTAACATATGATAGAGCACCTGTAACACATGATGAGCACCTGTAACATATGAAACACTCGTAACATATACCTGTCATTCATCGTGACGGAGCACCTGTAACATATGATAGAGCACCTGTAACATATGATGAGCACCTGTAACACATTATAGAGCACCTGTAACACATGATGAACACCTTATCATGCACCTGTAACACATGTTGGGGCACCTGTAACACATTATGTGCATAATGAGCACCTGTAACACATGATGAGCACCTTAACATGCACCTGTAACACATGATAGGGCACCTGTCAACCAAGGGTAGTCAATAATAAATGTCAAGGATGTTTACTTAAATCTATAATGCCGTATGTTGGGCGTTTATGATATTAGAAGATGACTCGGAGCTTGATGTTCTCTGACATGATGTGTATAGTCTTGTGAGTTTGGGTAAGTTATTTATGTATTCAAACAGACAGAACCACGAGACGAGAGAGTGAAATCGACCTTCTACGCAGACGTAAGTGGTGGAGATCCATTAGCATTACATTTCACTTGTCTTATAGCACTGACATCAGGTGTCCATGCTAACACCCAGCCTATCATTAACATTTCATTACTATACCACTACTTGCCTGTTCTACTGTAGATAATATATACCGTTCTCTACATTTTGTACATAGTTGCATTCATTTGCACCTCGACTAGATAGTTGCATAGTGCATCTTAGCACGAAGACTTTATTTAGGATATAGATCTTTGAAAACAATGAGCACGTCTACAGGAATCTTGGCATTAAGATCTTCAGACAGATTATGCTTGGATTTGAAAAGGTTTGCTTTGTGATAAATTGCACCAGTTATCTTTTCACTAAGATCTATAGAAAGTCTTTAGAAAGTTGGCCATTGAAAATATCACAGCACCACATGGCCCCATTCTCACGAGCAGTAATCTATTTAGAATAAACTGTCTTTGAAACATTCTTCACTGCATCAAACGAATGAATACTGAATATATAAAGAATACATTTATAGGAATGTATAAAGAATACATATATAGGAATGTATAAAGAATACATATATAGGAATATATAAAGAAGATCAAACTTACATAGACTAAGCTATCTTAGCAGAATGAATTCAGAGAGATATGACTAGTTGATGAAACATTAAGCAATGTATGCTACAGCATCCAACCATCTAAGCATTACGATCACTTCTGTGGCATTACCTTATAGGGATTCAAGGGCAGTGGGGTAGCCCAGTGGTTAATGTGTTTATTTGTCACACCCCGGGTTCGATTTCCCACATGGATACAATGTGTGAAACCCAATTAGGGACTTCCCAACCCGGGTCTTCGGCATGACGAGCGAACGTTTTAACCACTAGGCTACACCACCACCATCTTTGAAATGAAATAGACAAGTTAATATGCAACGATATTTCTTTGCTCGTTCTGTGTGCACAGGTATAGATAGAAACAGTTTTGTTTGATTTTTTTAAATTTAATTTTTACTAATCCCATATATAACCTTTGAATACATTGTCTTGAGCTGGCTTGTTTGTAGTCAGTATCTGCATTTGATGACTGCGATGTTTACTAACACTGTTTGCCTGTTGGGTTTGAGAGAATGTTCAGTAGCATGTGTTGTAGATGCAAGCTGTCGACATCAAGGCCTAGTCCGCAAAGTAATCATTTAACTCAAGTAAAACAGTGAGTCAGTGAGTTTAGTTTTATGCTGCTTTTAGCAATATTCCAGCAATATCACAGCAGGGGACGTCAGAAATGGGCGTCACACATTGTACTCTTGTAGGGAATCGAACCGGGCCTTCCGCATGATGAGCCGACGCTTTAACCACTAAGCTACCCCATCGCCCCCCAGTGAAACAGACTGAGGGCAGTTGTAGCACTCATATTGCTTTGTTGAATAGGGCTTTGGATGAAGTGATCATGGAACTGTGCAGAGTTGCATGGCTGACACCTGTGATTGAGTGACAGATTTGCCCAAATTATGTTTCTAGGTTTGACAACACCATACATGTACTCAGTGGTAAACTAGCAAGATCTCACTCAGGGCACCAATGTATCTCTGTGAAACTACGTTCCTAGCCATAACCTTAGCATGGTTGATTTTAGTCATTGATTGATAGAGCTGCAACAAGTCTTGTACCTCCATTTCTTCATTTGTCATTTATCCTGTATTGTGGCTGCAATTACATAAAGTTAACTTCAAATTTTCAACTCCTCACTTTGATCAAAGACTATTGTGCAAAATTGGCCTCACTGGAAGCACTTGTAAAATTTCCATCTTCACCATCAGTTAAATTACCATATATTTCAGTATGTCCCCAGAACCTGATGCCTGTCTTCCTGTAAGCATTTCATAGCAGAGTAGGTCCCTAGTACCCCATGCTTGTCTCCCTGTTGGTATTTCAGGGTGGGATAGATCCCTAGTACCCCATGCTTGTCTCCCTGTTGGTATTTCAGGGTGGGATAGATCCCTAGTACCCCATGCTTGTCTCCCTGTTGGTATTTCAGGGTGGAATAGATCCCTAGTACCCCATGCTTGTCTCCCTGTTGGTATTTCAGGGTGGGATAGATCCCTAGTACCCCATGCTTGTCTCCCTGTTGGTATTTCAGGGTGGGATAGATCCCTAGTACCCCATGCTTGTCTCCCTGTTGGTATTTCAGGGTGGGATAGATCCCTAGTACCCCATGCTTGTCTCCCTGTTGGTATTTCAGGGTGGGATAGATCCCTAGTACCCCATGCTTGTCTCCCTGTTGGGATTTCAGGGTGGGATAGATCCCTAGTACCCCATGCTTGTCTCCCTGTTGGGGTTTCAGGGCAGAACTGGTATCCAGTACCCCATTCCCCAAGATTATTAAGTGGCTACACTTTGTTTGCAAAGTCATCTAAACACACCCAAACTTTATTACTCAGAGGCTAACATTGTAAAGCTTGAATAGTGCTGACAACAGCAAAAAGCAACATTCACCTTCTAAGTCTCATGTTTACAAATTCACACCTTAACTGTTTTCAAACCAATTACAACACTGTTAGTTTTTAACTGTCCCTACCTGTTTGTGTGTGACAATGAGGAGGTGCTCGACCCGAGGAGAAATTTGATATTAAATGTCCCAGAACCCGGGCATAACACAATAGAAATGTAACTTCTGAATACAAGTGTAACTGTGTTGTATCATGCATCCAATTTGCAGTACATGAATATAAATCAGATATTAACTTATGTCGCGATGACCTCAGTGGTGAGGTCACAATGACCTGCTCATTACAACCTACTCAACCTTGTTGATAAACCATAGCCTGTAACAAGTGTACACAGTATCTAAACATGGGAGAGAGGGGAGAGTTTGAAAATAATTATCATGTTGTTAGGATAATTACTTCCTTTAGTTTCCTTAAATCTTTGAAAATGAAATAATATTTTGATAATGAAGGAAGTTGACATCAAGTGTAAATGTGTGGAATTGCTCAAGTGATAGGTATTGTAGATTACTTCAAGATTTATAGTCTCATATTTGGCTGATACCTCTATCAAACCATTTAGAATGTGAATGATTGTCTGTGTCAGTGTTAATTTAACAAAGAAATATCAGTCCATACCATCATACCTTAATATGAACCTCAGTAACGGAACTTATTTATATAACAATTGCCTTTTCAACTGGTATAATTTCGCTTGTTTCTTTTAATGATGTCTGTCTTTTCCTTTATGATTTGGTCAAGGACTCCCTGGTTGTCTGGTTCTACATGTAACAGGGACTCAGACAAAAAATATTAATTGCGAAAAAAAGAAAAATTTGAAATTCTATTAACTTTAATTGGAGTTCATGTATTTTAATTAAATTGTCTGAGATTTTAATTTACCTGTTGAAATTAAGTGGTAAGTTTTGAAGCACACATCACAAACATCTAAAGGCCTTGACTCAATATCATTATGATCAGATAGTCTTGATGCAAAGCGATACCTCTATGGGTGATGTTCTGACAACTGTTTTGAAGGTCACGTCAGGGGAACCATCAGCTATCTTTTACCTGCTGATCTGTTACTGAAGGGTGTATGTATAGGTATTTGAGCCACTCAGGTGTCAGCTTTCGATAATGATTTGGCTGAATATTTTTACCATCTTAATTAGGAAATTGTGATTATTTTTCAAAAGAATTTAACACACGTTATATTACAAGCAGAAGACATATTCCATGAAGAGAAGTACCTTTTGGTTCATGATGCCTTGACGCTCATTAGCTCATGATGTTTGAGATGTCCACATTATTCTGGGGGTGGTGAGGTAGCCTAGTGGTTAAAGCGTTTGCTTGTCTCGCCGAAGCCCCGGGTTTGATTCCACGCAAGGACACAATGTGTGAAACCCATTTCTGGTGTTTCCCGCCGTGATATTGCTGGAATATTGCTAAAAGCGGTGTAAAATCCAACTCACTCACTCAAAGAATTCTGATGCATCCTTTATTATTTGAATTCGGAACTGCTCAGTTAGTTTCATTTTTAAGAACCACAAATCAGGTATGGTGATGTGATTACATCACTAGTATCGAGAAGGATTTTCATTAGCTGACTGGAAGATGTACTGCTGTAAAATATCAGCTTTAGTCAGATTAGCCTTTAATAAGACACCTCTTTTAAAAAAGATGTTATATACCATATCTCATTTTTAAGAACCACAAATCAGGTATGGTGATGGATTACATCACTAGTCATTCATAATCGAGAAGGACATTTCTCATTAGCTGACTGGAAGATGTAGCCTAATGTTAAAATATCAGCTTTAGTCAGATTAGCCTTCAATAAGACACTTCTTCTTGAAAACATGTTATATAAAATATCCGGTAATAATAAATGATGTGGCTGGAGATGGTCTTGAACATGTAAAAGTCATTCATAATCAAAACACATTTCTTCCTGCAGACATTTCTATTTTTCAGTAAACGTACATTAAACATTTCCAAGATACTGGTTTGGGATTATTTTACAATTTATATTACAATCTGAGAAACAACTGCTATGAGAATTATAAGGGCTGACCCATACTAATATTTACAAAAGACTGACTGACTGAGTTTGGTTTTACGCCGCTTTTAGCAATATTCCAGCAGCATCATGGCAGGGGACACCAGAAATGGTCTTCACACATTGTACCCATGTGGGGATTCGAACCCAGGTCTTCGGCGTGACGAGCCAACGCTTTAACCACTAGGCTACCCCACCCCCCCATTTACAAAAAAAAATTCAGTGTGTCTTTTTGGCCTTGTAAATGACGTATGAGGATGTTTAGCTTGTTTTTATTTGTATATCAGCAGTGTCTAGACACCCTCAATAAATTCAGGAATTTAAAGGTCACATGCAACGTAAAACACAACTTTGCAGATTCTGATACCTTTCGGTATGGACTTACAGATACAAATCATCAAAAATGCAAATTCAACTTATAAAGTTGAAAAATAACGCGATGAAAAAACCCCCATGAAATCGGAGTTCAAACAATTCACTAAATTCTAAAGCTTGGGGTGAAAAGTGTTTCAACAGCTGTGGGTCAAAAGTGGGCTTGCTCATAGCACCATGAAAACGTTCGCACATTGATTTATGGCTATACACCACAAACAAAAGCGCATTGATTTATGGCCCGAGTTGGTCTCTGTCACATTATGTAATTACACGGACAGGCGTGGTGTGATACTTGTACACATGACATGTTATGATGTCTGTTGATTGCAAAATGTTATACACCAAAAATGAGCATGTATTTACAAAACCCAACATCTCTACACACACACGCACACGCACAGGCACACGCACACACAATGAGCCGTGAGGGCATCTGCAAATGAACCAGCCGTTACACTTAGTGCACACCCACCCGCTCTGACTGGGTTCGGTATCCCGGCTGCTTCGTTTCTTAGGAAGTAAACCCAAGTACACAATATTGCACTTTTGATTTGCAATTGTACGCTTATAATTTTGTTTATATTTTTTTTTTCATAATCAGCAATGTAATTATATGTCATGAATAAGTGATAATTGTGTTTTAATTATGTTTGATTTTTTGGTTGCATGTGACCTTTAAGTTAATATAAAATGGTCTCCTTGGTACCTTCTGTCTACCTTCCTTGAGGTGTAAAAAATCCCAATTGTGATCTATAGTTGGGAACAAATTAATCTAATTATACCTAATTCAAATCATGAACTTTTTCAAGGTGATCTGTTTTTTTCAAGGTGCAAATGAAACTACCAACACTGTGTAACATTTTGTAACAGAAACTTCTTTTCTTCCCAACTGCCATGGCTCTGTTTCTATATTAAGCCTAACAATGTTTGAAGTTGTCTAAGGGTATTTACAAATGCCAGACCTGAACATGGTGTATACGTTGTAAGTTCATTGCACCTGGCTAATTAGCCCAAGTTCTTACCCTAGCCGCCTCTCTGAAGCCTTGTGCAAGGTATAAACACAACTGGCCTGAGGAATACTCTGAATAGGTTTTGAAACCAAATCTTGAAATTAGGGTAGCTCAAAATGTAGTTCAGCTGTGGGAATGGAGAACCTTGGAATCTAGACTTGCACAAGTCTCTCGGGTAATAATTAATAGTTTAAATGATAATTTCTAAAAAAATATGTAAACATCCCTCCAACAGACTGGTGTTGTACTGTCTGCTTATCTAGACTTGCCTCTTAAAAGGATAGGATTGGTCTAGATCATCCACATCCTTGATAGTCTCCAGGGTATACATTCCGATAAATCTCCACTATACCCTGGATGCATCTACGACTTGGCCCCATGATTTTATTACCTCCCTTGGCTTGCTTTTTATCAAATCAGGTGTCTACGCTGGGAAGTTAAGCCTACCAATCAAAACTCTTTTATCTAACCGATTAAACTTTGCAACATAATTGTTGCAGAGGTACCCTGAAAGAGGTAGAAGGAGTTCTTGCATATATTTTTTAAAGTTTCAGGCCTGTCAATTTGTCTTTATGATTTCCCCCCAAATCTGAGTCGCACTGCGAACAAGCCTTCGCGGCTGCGACCGCTATCTTTGTTGACACTGGCAAGCTCGGTTGTAACGGCGGCTTAGCTGATTGGCTACTGTAAGAATGCGGAGCCTGCAAAGGGAGGCAATAAAATTATCGGGCTGAGCCATAGATGCATCCAGGGTACTAGTGGAGATTTATCGTAACGTATACCCTGGAGATAATCGAGGATGGATCATCCATGGAGATGTACTAGAGGCTATGTGGAAATAGGTGGCCTGGTGGAATGAGACAGATGGTATTGAATTAAACAGCATGGAACAGAGCCAGCTGGACTTAATAAATTGTACATAATCTAGATTGGTTTTCTTGTTATATAATAACAAGTTATTGATTTAAGAAAGTAGGAAGGTTGATAGTCTTTCCTGCAGACCACAGTGAATATGTTCAATAACATTCATTCCCAACATCCCCTCGTCAGCTCCAGCAACCTATACTCACACCCATCTATTGCACTTGAGAGTTCCTTTAATACATTTGAGTTTTTTTTAATAATTGTTGCATAACCTTTGACGTAACCTTTTTTTGAGGACTGTTAGTTAATCTAGCTGGTGGTTTGGTCATCAAATATTTATGTATTCGTTCCTGTTTTGAGACTTGTCCTCAAGATTCACTGCAGGTGAAGGGGATGCAGTGAGTTGTGCATGTTGCATCTCCAAGCTGCAAGGAGGTATGGGTGGTCCACTTGACTAAGGTGCCAAAATTTGCTGTTGAGTGTTCTGGAACATGATCTGCATGTCATGAACCTATGTTTCTTACAGAGGGGTAGCCTAGTGGTTAAAGAGTTCGCTTGCCATGCCAGAGACCCAGGTTCAATTCCCCACATGGGTACAATGTGTGTAACCAATTTCTGGTGACCCTGCCATGATATTGCTGGAATATTGCTAAAAGTGGCATAAAACCTCACTCACTCACTCATTCACTCACTTGCCAATTCTTTACCTCAATTGCATCATTGACATGAATTAGATATTTTTGTTACAGTTACAAAAAAATTTTTTTTTTTTTCCTCTTTACTGAAACTGATAATAATAAGTAAAATACTCCAGCATACTCCCACATCAAGCTGACATGCTGTGATGTAACTGGAATATACTTTTCAAAGAGGTGTTAAACTCAACTCAGCCACCTTGAACTGCCAGGATTTGGTGTGGACTAAGACCCTCAGTCTATCAACATATGATTATGGTCAACCATGAATCACCTGACAAACCGTGACATATACAATACACTCTTCAAGCAGTGTTAAACCCAGCTCACTCACTCACTCCTCTGCCAGGACAACTGAAGTATGTTTAAAATGGTCAGCTCGGCTTGGAACCAGATAATACACTGGTGTTTGGGTCTTTCCTTTTTCTTTAAGAAGTTAGGTTTTCAGCCATGATGTAATTGTGTTAATTGTTTGCAGGAAATCCCTGAGAACAGTGCCCAACAGGAAGAATCGGACAAGATGGAGGGTTACCTCTTCAAGAGAACGACAAACGCATTTCGGACATGGGTCAGGTAAGTGGACAACCCAAATCAAGTGGAATCTAAATCAGCCTTACATTGAGGCAGCGTTTGAAATACCTGTCTGCCCGACCTCCCGGGATGGGTTATTTTCAACACATACTGCCAGTTTCTCAAATTCACCTGCCCGACGGTCTGGTTAAAATTTAGGCATGTACATGAAGATATTTTGTGGGCAGGTAGGTTTTAGTCAGGGGTGGCAAGTTTTACATCTACCCAGCCCTGTGGTCTGGCTGAATTTTTTTGGAGTTTCATACCCTGATTGATGCTGGTTACCAGAAACTTGAATCCTTTGGGATCAGCCATGTCCCAACATTATCTGCCTGTCAGCAATCTTTAATCTCATTTCACAAGGAGCCAAGCTCAGTTCAGTAGGAATGTCATTGTATAACGTATAACGAAACATTGAGGTATTGGTATATTTACAATGCTGTATCAATACAGATTAGTGAAAAGAGAAACTAAAATATTTATTCACTGCCATAGACTTGTTCATATCTTTTGAGTGATCTTGGCTCAGATGGACATTTTAGAAGCCAAAAAATTAATTGAGGGATCAGTCTAGTTCTGCTATAGCATTAGGGGCAGTGGGGTAGCCTAGTGGTTAAAGCGTTGGCTCGTCATGCCGAAGACCCGGGTTTGAATCCCCACATGGGTACAATGTGTGAAGCCCATTTCTGGTGTCCCCCGCCGTGATGTCCGTGATATTGCTAAAAGCGGTGTAAAACCAAACTCAGTCAGTCAGTGCTATAGCATTAAATATATTGGCAGGTCTTAATAGTAAAGTTTTGTTAATTCACAAGCAGCTTAACAAATGTGTATTTAATAAAGGACCACCATTTTGCAACACTGATACTTTTGAGCTGATTTATCACTACCTTAATTTCCGAGCCATGACATCCCTTATTTGGTCTTCACTTCTACGAGTGACAGAACATTAATGCCTATTCAAAAAAGTTTACACCATCAAAGAACGCACACATGTAGAAAATGGAGTCTGTGTTTAAATGATTGACTCATCAAGAGGTAGCCATGAGGCAATGAATCACTGATTCCAGATGTAGAATTTGTTCGTAGTGACAGCCAGATTGACATCACAGAGTGGCCAGATTCCATGGCAGGGTTCACTTTAGTCATTGCAGTTGTCCTTTAATCTGAAAAAAGTCAAGTGGTTGCATTGTCAAAATGGTAACCGAATATACTCTACCAAAATGTGAATTGGGAGCTATTTTTAAGAAATTGAGTCATCAGTCTTTGTGACAAAACAAATATCTGCATCACTGACATGAATATATTGGTGAACGACTCCTGAAAACAGCCAGTGTGGATGACTTCAAGTGGCCTTTTAGACTTGCACAAGTCTCTCGGGTAATAATTACTAGTTTAAATGATAATTTCTAATAAATATAAATAAAATTAACACATTGTCCCATGAACAGACTCACATCCTTGTACTGTCAACTTATCTAGACTTGCCTCTTTAAAGGATAGAATTACTATACATCCATGGGCCTAGCATTCAGTACAGCCTTGGAGCAAGGCTAGTGGTCCACTTATCTAGACTTGCCTCTTTAAGGATAGAATTACTATACATCCATGGGCCTAGCATTCAGTACAGCCTTGGAGCAAGGCTAGTGGTCCACTTATCTAGACTTTGCTCTTCAAAAGATAGAATTACTATACATCTATGGGTTTAGCATTCAGTACAGCCTTGGAGCAAGGCTAGTCTTCCGCTTATCTAGACTTGCCTCTTTAAGGATAGAATTACTATACATCCATGGGCCTAGCATTCAGTACAGCCTTGGAGCAAGGCTAGGGGTCCACTTGTCTAGACTTTGCTCTTCAAAAGATAGAATTACTATACATCTATGGGTTTAGCATTCAGTACAGCCTTGTAGAAAGGCTAGCGGCTTTTCAGCTACATTGAGTTGTGATGAGACTGCAGTTCACACAGAAAACATCATAGCGGAGTAGCCATGTTGAGTGTTGGGTGATTGTACATGGCTGGCCATGACATCTGCCTCCAGCACTGAATACTGGTAAATAACTCTAGCACATGTTCGGGAATGCAATACCAGAAAATTTAGAAACTTCATCTTATTTATGAAGTAGAAAATAGGACACGCTTCAATAATATTTTAAGAAAGAAATTGTTTTGATGTGTTTTGCATAACCTAAGGACCCATGTTGTTGGTTTGTGGTCTCAAGCATTATGTACCCATAATAAGAAAAAGTTCTGATTGATGACCTCCTTCATTGAAAGTTTTTGTTGTATGAGAAAAATGTCACATGACACACTAGACATTTGCGAAGATAATATTTTGTGTCATACGCCTGTAACACTGCTGATTGCAGCATCAAACACTGGCCTACTCATGATACAGTCAGAACTGTACAATAGATTTCATATAGATGTGCAAAGGGTTTTGTCTTTTCTGTTTGGACTATGGTGTGGTTATTTATAGAGTACTTCAGTTTGTTTTGTTTTTTTGGGGGGAGGGTGTTGGTAGCCTAGTGGTTAAAGCGTTCGCTGAAGATCCGGGTTTGATTCCCCACATGGGTACAATGTGTGAAGCCCATTTCTGGTGTCCCCTGCAGTGATATTACTCACTCACTCACTCACTCACTCACTCACTCACTCACTCACTCACTCACTCACTCACTCACTCACTCACTCACTCACTCACTCACTCACTCACTCACTCACTCACTCACTCACTCACTCACTCATTACTTCAGTTTGGTAGTGCTGAGTTGTGCCTTAGCACTCCCAGGTGGTTTGAATCCCAGATTTGCCTTGACCGGTTTGTCGGCTCCATACATATGCTTGTGCATTCACAAACGTAAACATCTTCAATCTACATCACTCTGGGTCTGTCTAGTACATAAAGCTGACATGGCATCATATAACTGGAATATTGTTCAAACTGGGACAAAATTCACTCATTCACAATGGTTTGAATTTATTCAGTTTAAGACCCGTGAAGATCCAGGTTAGAATTTATCTTCAGTAACCCATGCTTGTCGTAAGAGGCTACTAACGGGATCAGGTGGTCATGTTCACTAACTTGGTTGACACGTCATCATATCGTGTAGATATGTGTAGATCAATTCTCATGCTGTTGATCACTGGATTGTCTGATCCAGACTCCATTATTTATGATGTGAAACTAAACTCGCTCACTCATTGATAGAGATGGAAAATGATACCTCTTCGTATATCATACTTTTCTTTGTGTTGTCAATCTGTGAAACTATACTGCTGTGTACGCCATAGTTTTTACATTCTATAGAACTTCTCCACACTGGAATTTTGTTTCCTTTAGTAGAGTGAGTGAATGAGTTTTGTTTTACAGTGCTTTCATCAATATTCCAGCTATATGGTGGCGGTCAGTAAATACTTTAGTCAAGACAGATAATCCAGTGATCAACAGCATGAGCATCGATGTATGCAATTGAGATACAATGACGTGTCAACCAGTCAGCGAGCCTGACCACCCGATCCTAAGTCGCCTCTTTAGTGGAAGGTTTCTGGTTTGATTCTTGGCCATGTGACACCAAAAGATGTTAAAGATGGTACTTGCTATTGCCCTGCCTCTTATTTAACATATCAGGGGATAGCTCAGAGACCTGCAGGCATTGTGAAAACCCAATTGTCTCGCTTGTCTCGTTTGTCTCAGTTATGCTGAAGACATCAAGTACATCATGATCCACCTTGGAAAACAGGAATTCCTTTTATGATCATTACTTCTAGAACGTCCAAAAATATCATCAGTGTTCCTTTCATCATTTCCTTTTCTCAAGGGTTTCAAGTTACAAGTATAAACAAATAGAAAAAAATATCCACTGTAGTCATTTCAACACAACTTCCTTAAAGAAAAACTGGATTTTCACATTAAGCCTTAATTTCCAACTTAATGGATAGCACTTGCCAAACCTGCTGACAGAAACCAGTAAGGCTGATGCATAATGATCCGGCTATAAACGCTGGAACATCCAGACAAAATAACACTGCTTCTGGAACAGTGTTCTTTGAGGGTTCTGGAACTGGGCTTGAAATGTTATATAAACAGTTCCGGATAAACACCAAACTCACATAGTCGGATAAACACCAAACTCACATAGTCGGATAAACACCAAACTCACATAGTCGGATAAACACCAAACTCACATAGTCGGATAAACACCAAACTCACATAGTCGGATAAACACCAAACTCACATAGTCGGATAAACACCAAACTCACATGGTCTCTTTTCGTGCTTCCTGTTATGGTGAGACACATAACAAGCTGATATTGTAGTGTTGGAGTTGGTACTGGACACTGTGGAATTTCCTGGCCTGGCCTCAAATCAGTCTCTTGCCTGCTGTAAGATGGGAAGCAGCATGTCATTGACTGATTGCGGGTTACAGTTTGGTAGCAAATGGGATTGCTGGTTACATCAATGGTCTGTTGGGCAGTGGTGTAGAATAGTGGTTAAACTGTTCGCTTGTCATGCTGAAGACCCAGGTTCGATCCCCCACATGGGTACAGTGTGTGAAGCCCATTTGTGGTGTCCCCTGCCATGATTTTGCTGGAATATTGCTAAAAGCAGCGTAAAACTGAACTCACTCACTTCCTCATTGGCCTATTGGATTATCAGAAACAGTTATCTGGCATTTTTATGCCCCCGCCATATATGGCTGGGGGCAATTCATTTTTCATCTCAGAAATGTAGCCATTGATTTCATCACTGATCATTGATCAGTTTATCAAACTGATCAGTTATTTTATTATGATCGGTTGCAAAAGTATGAAACACTACTTCAATGAAATATAAACAACTTACTATTCTGAAGGAGATAACCTGTGAATGTACAGAAGACATCAGGGCGGTGGGGTAGCCTAGTGGTTAAAGCGTTCACTCGTCACACCGAAGACACGGGTTCGATTCCCCACATCGGTACAAAGTGTGAAGCCCATTTCTGGTGTCCCCCGCCGTGATATTGCTGGAATATTGCTAAAAGCAGCGTAAAACCATACTCACTCACTCACTCACTCACTCACAGAAGACATCAGGTACAACAGCTTGTTTGTGCCTTCCCTAGATCTCTTATCATATATCTGCTCATTCCAGATCAGCTCCTGACAATATTAGTTTAAACCATGCTGCCTCATCAAGGCTAAATCCAAACTCCAAACCAGCACCACCAGTTACATCAACAGGAAATGTATGATGTCTTGAAACAAGATATTATCTCTCTCTCAAAATTCTACACAAAATGTGTGCTGTTTCATTTAGTTGAATGATCTCCTACTGAACTGACAGATAAACTTTAGTAATATGAAAAAAAATCAGGAAATCCGTAACTTATTTTCAGTAGAATATCAGAAGCCAAGTAAGCTATGTAAATATGGCTTAAAGAGGTACTTAGGGAATGACATTTCAAACAAATGCTCACTTTCCGGACATATTTTCCATTAGGCCACAATATGTTGATTATTTTATGAATTTCTTTTAATTTAATAAAAATGCAAATGGAATGTATATATAAAGATGCATCTGTGTACATTATCTGCTGCCAGATTAAAACGAAGCATGAATGTTTGGTTGGAACCAGTGTAAGGTTTGTTTTACACAAACGTTTAAGTTTCTGAAAATAGATAATTTTGACAGATGAACGGCATTTAATTTGAAAAGGAGCCCTATAGATCCAAGGAAGCTGTGGAAAATCTAGACATCCTTCTTAAGAACTTTAGAATGGCAGTAAGGGCAGAGAGAGCAATACAGTAACGGCAAGCTGAAGGGAAACCAATATGCTTCAGGGACTTGGTGTGTTTCATGTAGAAAAGAAACAAGGAAACATGCAGTCTTGTCCTTCATCAGTAGGTACAGGGGCACAATAACATAATGTAATTTGGAGCAGAGAAAATTTGAAAATTTCAGTAAACTATGTTTATGAAGAAACCATATTTACTAACAAACTAATGAATACAACAACTGCCCCAACCACTTGCTGTGTGTTTCAGTGGAATATGTATAACAAGCTATGGTTCTACCAAACTAAGATTGGTGGTTCTTTTGAGTTCATTGCAAGTGTAGATTACTGAAATTCGTTCCATTGTAGGGCGGTTGGGTAGCCTAGTGGTTAAAGCGTTGGCTCGTCACGACGAAGACCCGGGTTCGAATCCCCACATGGGTACAATGTGTGAAGCCCATTTCTGGTGTCCCACGCCGTGATGTTGCTGGAATATTGCTAAAAGCGGCGTAAAACCAAACTCACTCAGTCAGTCGTTACATTGTAGTAGCTGTGATGGTGACCTAGGTAGGTAGGTAGGTAGGTGTATTTAATTCCCCCAGATTTGGAGATACAAAATTACTTGAATTTTAAAAGCTTATGTTGTTAGCCACAAGTGTTGGAATTTTATGATAGATTAATTAGTGTCTTTAGAAAGTGAAACTGGACCAGTCGATCCCAGATGCAAACTGTCCAACCAGTAGCAGCAGTTGTATGGTGTCAATGTCATAGAGAGAAGTCTGGGTACAAGTGTTTGAGGATGTTTCTTTCAAGTTTGTTGGGAAGGATGTGTATGTTTCAAATTGTATTTCAAGCCTCTCAAATATACCACATAGTATTGAATAATCAGGGTATATACAGCTTGAAAAGCCTTGAAATTAAAGATCCATCTTGAAAAGGTCTTGAATTTGAAGGTCTGTTTTTAAACGGTTAAAGATAGTGATGTCACTTGAAACCACTTTTCATCGCTCGCCCACCCACTCACCCACTCATCCACCCACTCACTCATATTAACTATTCACTTCTTCATGGCTTGATAAGCAGACCAAAGGCAGTATCTTATCCACAAAAAACACCATGTTCAGCATCTATCTGCCTGAACATTGCCAACAGGTTGTTGTGCTTCTACTTCACCAGGTGTATTCTGGTGTTATCATCAACTCTTCCTCAGGTTTCTGGATCAAATGGTGCGATGATTTCCACCAGAAGGATTCTGAGATGAAGTATTTCCCCAGCCTTCTGCTGGTAATACCGGAATAAATGGACCAGTGGTCAGACTGGGTCCTACTGTATCCAGGCAGCATGGATTGTTGTTCAGTCAGTTACTGGATTGTCTGGTCAAGACTCTTCTATTTATAGAGCGGGGCGGTGGGGTAGCCTAATGGTAAATAAAGCAAGTCTGATTTCGTCAGGTTCACGAATGTCTGGGTTCGAATCCCACATGGGCACAATGTGTGAAGCCCATTTCTGGTGTCCCCCGCCGTGATATTGCTGGAATATTGCTAAAAGCGGTGTAAAACCAAACTCAGTCAGTCAGTCAGTCTATTTATAGACTGCCATAAATACGCTGAGTCTGCTGTTTAACAACAAACAAAACAAGGCTACAATTTCCTTGTTTTGTTTTGTTCAACATTCACTTGTATATTCTGAAAAACCTGTTTTGAAAGTTTTCAAGAAATATGTGAAATTATTGACTTTCTTAAAACATTTTCACAGGAGGGTGATAAATGAGAAGTTTGTTGTTGGTGGTTTCGGTTCAAGGTTGTTTGTTTGCAGTGCATTGGAGTGTGGTGCATGTTCCAGAGCTCAGTGTATGAGCTGCACCATGCTATAGTCTGTATCAACAATGTCATGTCTTGGAGTGTGGTGCATGTTCCAGAGCTCAAGTCAGTGTATGTTGCACCAGAGCTCAAGTCAGTGTATGAGCTGCACCATGCTATAGTCTGTATCAACAATGTCATGTCTTGGAGTGTGGTGCATGTTCCAGAGCTCAAGTCAGTGTATGAGCTGCACCATGCTATAGTCTGTATCAACAATGTTATGTCTTGGAGTGGTGAGCTGTCTGATAAACTCCAGCTCTCAGCTGTGTGTATGAGCTGCACCATGCTATAGTCTGTATCAACAATGTTATGTCTTGGAGTGTGGAGCTGTCTGATAAACTCCAGCTCTCAGCTGTGTGTATGAGCTGCACAATGCTATAGTCTGTATCAACAATGTTATGTCTTGGAGTGTGGAGCTGTCTGATAAACTCCAGCTCTCAGCTGTGTGTATGAGCTGCACGATGCTATAGTTTGTATCAACAATTTCATGTCATGGAGAGCGGAGCTGTCAGAATGACAGATATTTTACCTGAGTCATGTAGTTTTTGGCTGTAGGCATATTGTAGGACTGTGGGGTCCGTGGAACCTTGGAGGCATAATTCAGTGTCAGAGATGTACCACACAAGGGGAATAACTTTTCTATAGCACCAAATATGGAAAACACATTGAAGTACTGTGTGTTATCAAGTTTGTGCTTTCTTGAAGGATGAATGTTACACTAGGCAGATTGCTTGAGGGAGTGCCTGCACTTTTCCATGGGTATAGGTCAGGGAGTTATAAGCGTGAAGCAGGGCCCTCCTGTGTCCTGGCAGCATCTTAAACATGCCACTGTGCCACTTGTGGTTCACATACTTGTAGTCTTGCAAGGAACTTTCGGTGCAGATGCAGCTGTGACATTAACTTACAGACTCAGCTTGAAGCTAGACACATTTCCAAATGAACTAGTTTAGATGTAGAGGTAGACTAACCTCTAGTCTCTGAATTTACCATATTATACAGGAAAAAAACAGTTCTTAAATTATTATCTTAGAATATAGTGAAAAGGAGTCAGGAGACATTCTTCATTTTCTGCCTGAAACTGTGGAAATCTAGACTTGACTTAAATTCTAGACTTGCCACATATTCTAAACTTGCAAGGGCTTTCTTTGATATATTTGTTTCAGGGTCCATGTGACAGACTAATGTAGAGGTTCCCTGTATATTGATTGTATTCTCCACACACACTGTAGGTCAGTGTTCACGAATGGTGTTTCAAAGTAACAGGACATTGGGTGCTGTAGGTTTCAGATATCTGTCTGACCCATTGAAAATTCACAGGACCCATAGAATAAAATTAAACACACATTTCAGATTTAAAATTTCTTATAATTGGCATTTAACATTACTAACAAACATAAGATTTATAAACAGCAAACAAGCGTCACATGTGACATGTGACATATGACAACTTCAGTCAAAGTCATTGTGAAATATACAGTCAGACACTGGCCGGCGGACTTCTATCGGACCGTTGGCGAATCTGCTGGATTTGTCAGGGGGTCAGACACTATTCGTGAACACTGTAGGGGAAAGAAGCTGACAGTGCTCATGCATCCTTCATGGTGATGTAGTATTGGTACATCTCAGTGAACTGGAGATTTAGAGCAGGTCCCCTGTACCCAATAGTCTTGTTACTTGTCACAGTGAATGAGTGAATACTGCCTGGCTAAAAGAATATTGGTTGACTAAATGAGTATTGGGTGTTTTTTTTTGTGAGCTGAGTGAATGAGTGAGCACTGACTGCCTAATGAATATTGGGTGGTAATGGTTTTGGGATTGCTGATCGTATCAAACAGGAGATTTGCTGCCATGGCATAGATCACTTTACTGGTCTATTTAGGATTTTATTTTACAGTTTGTCTCTAGGTTCGTCAGCACCATGAGTTTGTTTATGGCTTTCAACAATGCAGTAAACCTGCATTACTTTGAGCTTTCCTCAAGTTGACCATGTTCTGTAGCTGAACTATAATTCAAACAGACATTAAACCAACCTCACTCACTGACCTAATAGTGATCATTGGAGACTTAATTATTTATAGGCTGATGTCATACAGCAATAATGTGGGTAAATAGATTGTTAAACATATTAACCAAAAAACAACCCCCAACCAGGTGATCCCTCCCTTTTCAAAGTCTCGCATTACCTCACTCCCTCACTAACTCTCTGTGTTGGTCATATATAGCAGACCTGGTCATGTGGTGCTGTGACTCTGTTTTAGACGGTGGTTCAGGATCGAGACACGTCAGTTGGTGTACCGGAAGCGTTCCAAGGACTCTCAGACTGTCATGGAAGAGGACCTGAGACTGTGTTCCATCAAACCAGTTGTTGACACCGACAGACGCTTCTGCTTTGAGGTCCTCTCCCCCACAAGGTTTGTAGGTCACATGTAGAGCAACTTGGGGTAAATCTTCTGATGTTGTATGACCCCGCAACCACCCTTATTGCCAGCTCGATTCTGTTTCTTGCTCGGGGAAAATTCCAGGGTATCATAGGTTCCCAGCAAGCTCCTCAGCATCAAATGAAATGAGAGTTTAATTCCTAAACTAATGTGTCCATTTGCCTCTGTTGCAGGAGCCATGTGTTGCAGGCTGATTCTGATTCCCAGTGTCTCCTGTGGATCAACTCTATACAGTGCAGTATTAACAAAGCTTACAGGGAGACGCTCAACGCTCAGGACTCAGTTGTGAGTGTTAGTATCAGCACTGGCACCTCCTTCTGTTATAGCATGAACAACTACTTTCTTCTATAGGGGCGGTGGGGTAGCCTAGTGGTTAAAGCGTTGGCTCGTCACGCCGAAGACCTGGGTTCGAATCCCCACATGGGTACAATGTGTGAAGCCCATTTCTGGTGTCCACTGCCGTGATGTTGCTGGAATATTGCTAAAAGCGGCGTAAAACCAAACTCAGTCAGACAGTACTTTCTTCTATAAGTATTAGCACTGGCACTTTCTACTGATATGATATGCACAGGCACTTTCTTCTGTTATAACACAATTAAGTAACTACTTCTATCAGCATTAGCACAGGCACTTTTTTCTGATATGATACACACACTTTCTTCTGTTACAACAAGAACAACCACTCTCTTCTGTTAGTTTTAGCACAGGCACTTCCTTCAGCTATGAATTGATATGCACAGGTGCTTTAGTCTAATTGTATTAGCCAGTCACTTTCTTCAACTATGATATGCACAGGCACTTCCTTCTGCTATGATATGCACAGGCACTTTTGTCTATTGGTATCAGCACAGGCACTTCCTTCTGCTATGATATGCACAGGCACTTTGGTATATTGGTATTAGCATGGGCAGTTTGGTATGTTAGTATTAGCACAGGCACTTTCCCATGACTATAATATGCACAGGCACTTTAACCTGGCTATGATATGCACAGGTACTTTGGTCTGTTAGTATTAGCACTGGCACTTTCTTCTGTTATATGAACAACCACTTTTGTCTATTGGTATTATCTTGTCTGAAAGATGTACAGAGACACACAGCAGAGGTGGGTGGGGCACCAACATCAATCTGGAGTCCTATAACCCATTACCAGGCAGAATAAACACAATCCCACCATAGATGATAGCATCAGTGTGTAAACTGGGATCAGAGGAAGGGATGTCGATGAGGTGACAAGGGTCTTGTTTCTTGTAGACTGGCTCCAGTAGTAATCAGTGTGATGATGCTTAGTGTTTATGTTGGGGATAGAGTAGATGGCAGGGTGGGATGTATGTGGACAGTTAGGTGTGTAGATCATAGAAGTCCTCTGATTGTCATGCCGTATTTTAAATTTTTATAGCTAGGCTTGTCTAAGTGCTAAGCTCACTTTGTAGAATGGGACACTGCAGATGATAAAAACTTAATCAGTTTTACACAGATTTTGTTAATAGATTTGGTAGATTATAGCTCCACCTCCCCCTTCCTTGAAACAAGTGCTGAGATGATTGTAACTCAAATACTATAGCTATGACCTCCCATATTAATAGTGTAACATACTCATGAAGATGTAAGCCACCCATCCTTGTTGTAAGAGGCAACTAACGGGATCGCGTGGTCAGGCTCGCTGACTTGGTTGACACATGTTATTGTATCCCAATTGCACAGATCGATCCTTATGCTGTTGATCACTGTATTGTCTGGTCCAAATTCAAATATTTACAGACCGCCGCCATATAGCTTGAATATTGCTGAGTGAGGTGTTAAACAACAGACAAACATAATGTAACATGGCTTTGTTTGACCTGGCCCCGATTTCTCGAAACAAACTTAAGTCTGAGTTTCGACTTAAGTTAGAGTTTTTACTCAAATTTGAGAAAATGCATTTCCCAGAATGAACTAAAATCGATATTAAACTCAAACATAGTAGACAATTTGAGTTTGGTGGATAGATTACTGTAAACGTACTTATTTTCGCGTGGTGCAATTTTCGCGTAATTGACAGTTTAGACTACATCGCGCGGTCAATTCTTCGCGCAATCAGTAATTGCCGGAACTGCCAGCTGTCTCTTTGGCCGCCACTAATAGCAGTGAAAACAAACAGAGTGGCTTAACCTGTCAGGCGGCGTTTATTGCTTACTCACAGGAAATCCCTATCTGTGCGATATACTAGTACACAGTAATCCGTTTACTCACGAAAGAGATGAAAAACACATCAGTCTTATGTTCCGAATTCTGACGATCTGACGAATTAACTTCTACTGTATATGAAGCTCTTTGTGTTTTCAAACAAGCCGGGTTGTTGTGAATGAGATGATTGAGTGTTAAGTGACTATTTGCTTCATGATGTACTGGTAAATAAAATCTTAATGAATAAATAAAATACTGCTGTATTATTTCTTTCCGAGTCGTTTCATGGTAATCTGTTTTGTATCAAACCATCTGTCATGTGACCAATTTCCATGGCGGCCACAACACACATTGCTGTTTTCGCTAATTCGGCGATGGGATTTCGCTCATAATTTAATTATGTTTTGGGAAATCCATCACAGCGACAGTTAAGTATGATTCTTTATGCTACTATCAGTCGTCATTTTAAGATTCCCGTAGATTTCTGTCTTCAAACTTGATGTGTTATGGTAACAACTCAGGGGCGAGCGTGGCTGGACTGAATGAATGACAGGTTTATTCACGGTGTATAAATTTTCGCGCTAAAATGTTTTGCGCGAAATATAATACGTTTACAATACTTAAGTTGTTTTGGGCTTTTTTATTTAAAACATGCAGTTGAGTTAAAAATTCATCTGTTTCAAATTGTCCAACTAAGTTTGAAATATGAGTAAAAACATAAGTTTGTTTCGAGAAATCAGGGCCAGGTCTTTGATCTTCGTGAGTAGTATGTGTTTTGTCAGACTGTTCTGTACGGGTTCATCTGTTTCCTCTAGGATGAAGAAGGTGTAGACAACAATGCAGTACTGAACGGCGCCAGCTCTAACGACGTCAGTGCCATGAGATCTCCCCTGCAACCCAAACAGACCAAGGTCCAGGTGTAAGTAGCAGCACTGACCAGGACTTGGGCTAGAATATGTCACCAGCATCAGTTGTTAAGTGGGTTACATCACTGACTCTGTGTGCTGGCAATAAGATGCCTGACTCTGAGGGTGTGGGTTTGAATCCCAGATGGGACTCAACCTAATAGAAGTACTAGCATTGATACTTTACTTAGAAAGTATCATCTCAAACATAACATATGTTGAATATTTTCACTTGTATGTTGCAGAAGGCAACCAAGCTGTATTTGGTGAACATCGTACCTCACAGCTTTAGATACTGCTCATTATATTAACCATTGATTTCACCAGAGTGGTAAATGCCTGAGATATTATTTAGTGTTCCTCCCATGTTAAGCTGGCAAGCTATGATATTACTGAAATTGTTAAGGATGGTGTTGTGCTGTCTCATTGACTGAATCAGAAATGGTGGTACACTGTAACACGTGCTGCATGTGTTACAGACGGATGGAGCAGCTGTTCTCGGTACCAGGCAACGACCGGTGCTGTGACTGTGGCTCACCAGAACCTCGCTGGGCCAGCATCAACCTCGGCATCACACTATGTATAGAGTGTTCTGGTATCCACAGGTCAGTACTTCTTGTATAACAAGTCCTTGGTAGTCTACAAGGAAATGCCAGTAGTCTTTCTTAAATGTTACTAGTCTGGACTTGTTTCAAAATGATTTCCAGACTGTCATCATACAGCTTAAATATTGAATTTATGTTGATTTGGTACCCTGTATTCTGCCTTACAGATCTCCTCAGAGCATAGGGGCGGTGGGGTAGCCTAGTGGTTAAAGCGTTGGCTCATCACGCCAAAGACCCGGGTTCGAATCCCCACATGGGTACAATGTGTGAAGCCCATTTCTGGTGACCCCTGCCGTGATGTTGCTGGAATATTGCTAAAAGCGGCGTAAAACCAAAACTCGGTCAGTCAGTCAGTCCTCAGAGCATAGATTACAAAATGTGTTCAACTGAAGTCTAGAATGATTTGGCATGTCTAGATTGCCTCTGCTCAAGGCCTGAAACGAAGAATTGTTTGTAGATATAAAGATTCAAAATAACATAACTGTATTTCTGGGACTAACTGTCACTGTAGCAACCCTGATACATGTTGTAATACATGACTGCTAAAATTGTCATGTTGAGACAGGTTGTGATACAGCTGGAATATTGCTGAGCATTCTCTCACTCATTTTTCTTCTCCTTCCTTCAAGGAGTTTCGGGGTACATCTGTCCAAAGTTCGGTCCATCACCCTGGATGCATGGGAACCAGAGCTCATCAAGGTCATGGTGGAGGTCGGCAACGAGGCCGTAAATCGAGTATTTGAGGCTAAGGTGGACGAGTCTGTGGCAAAACGAGCAACACCTGAATCAAACAGGTGGGTCCAGTTTAAGCAGTATCGTGCTGACTTTAAGGTAGTCACAGGACTAGGTAGGCCTGGCTATGGCTGTGTAGTAAGTTTGTTGCAGAAGAGTGCCAATAACCTGGTTAAATTGAATTCCTTGTGTCTGGTATGTTGACAAACTTACCATGAAACTGGTGAAGAATGTTCTGTACAGTGAGGTAGTATACATGTATGAACGTTAGAACCAGTCTGTTCCACGTGTATGCTCATTTGATAATACATTTCATTTTTAATGTTGAATTCAAATATTTGCAAACCATCTTGAAGTCAATTCTTATAAATGAAAACAGTTAGTAATAGGAATTTCATTGTCTGCTTATTTAATTATTAACTCTCAAAATCAATGACATCATTCAGTGCAATAAGGCAGCCCAAGCCCTGCCCAACACACTATGAGGTATAAGATGACAGTGGGTGTTCCTCTTTTGCCAGTCCTTATTGTTATTGGATTAAAATCACCAGACCTTATTAATTAGCAAGACAATGGGGGATTACAGGGTTTACCACCAAGGATGACCAAGCCAAGAAAGACACAACTGATCTGGACTATCATTTGTATTTGTTATGTTCAGCACAACGTAACTGCTTACATATAAAAATTGATCAATTACTTATCACAATCATCTTACGTATCAATAACATACATAAATGTACACAATGATGGTTCATACACGATGGAGCTACATTCATGTCCAACAAAATGAGAAACTGCATCCCTATACTGTATCATAGTCTTCCATCCTGCTTGAAGATGGTCTTTCTCTCTGGTCCGTCATCTGTGTGCAAAGACCGATAGACTTCCAGATGGGTCACTTGGGCATCTATTGAGTGTGGCACAATGTGAAAACATTTCTTTCCTGTTAGTGATATGTGTTTCTATGGCATTGTATGTAATAAATGAGAGGTTCGAACATGTATAAATACATAACTAAACCTTGAAAGATGACACAGTCTAAGCAAAGAATGGAACAAATGGACCATAAGAATAGAAACGACAGCAAAACATTGCAAAGGGCTTTTCCTTTTCGAAGTAGAGAGTCTCCCACAGTGACTTTCATACATACAAGCATCATGTCAATTTGTCTTCACCCAGAACAATTCGAGAGGCGTGGATCCGGGCGAAGTACGTCCAGAAGGCGTTCGTGAATCATCTCCCTGACACCAAGACCACAGCTGGGAACAAGATCCGAAGCTGGAGTGTACGGAAAAAGACACGGAAATCTCCGGCCAGGTCTGCAACTAAGGAGGATTCCAAGGAAGATTCCGTGTCAGATTCTGAGGACGTCACAAGTGGACTTATGGAAGGTAGGAAACCTTTTTGAAGTTTTGTTTCTAGTTTTGGCTAAATTTTCCTGCTTATTTTCCTTTTGGCTAGTTTTGCTTATTTTAGCACATGCTTCAATTCAAATAATGATATGATTTTCTTTAGTTTAAAATTTATCTATGTTTTAAGATGGAATAAACTGAATATAGAGTCTACAATAGTAATCTGAATGTCCTGTGTAATCGTAAGTTATGAGCATGCTGTGTGCTAGGGATCCAAGAGTTGTCTCCCCTGGTGATGACTCCATCACTTGTAATTTTCTTTGATGGATTTACTACATTTTGTACTGTTGGTTTAATTTTCGTGTTGTAAATACATTTTGGCATGATTGACAGTGATTAATCTAATTTCAATTTCCATGTTGGTAATTTGCTGTAAAAGGATATTTTGTTAGCTTTACAGCTGCTTGTGTATGTTCACTGTCTCTGCGTTATGAATTTACTAACGATCTCCCTCATCAGTTGTGCATGTACTTTGACAACTCTTCATTTCAGGTGTAGGCACAGTGTGTTCATTTAATGTGAAACATCAGGCATAAAATGTTGTATGAACATGTAATTTATGTTCTGTAAATTGTAAAATATTTGACAGGAATATAATTGTAAATGTAATATATTAAGACATATATCAACCGGTGTATATATATTATATTGCACACAGAATCATGTATTTATCTATGAATGACCCTGCACAGTTAGCACCTCTAGGATTGATCCCTGCACATGCACTAGTACACATCTCTGATTTGATTTATGCAAACTGTTCTCTCTCTCATAAATGACATCAGCCTGAAGACAGAGTCTTGTAAACATGTTCTGTCAAGGTGGCTCAGCTGACAATAGTCCATATCCTAACACCTTTATCTACCGTATATGACCGTCTATAAGACGACCCCATGGATAAGACGACCCCCCAAACTTGATCCTTTAAATCAGTGTCAAAATGGTATGTTTCGTGCATAAGTCGATCCCCCGCGATGGGGTCCTAATCGCGGCAAACACAGGCCACAGACAACTGGCAGTTACCAATAATTATAACTTTGGTCCACATTATTCAAAGAATTCACATGTACTTACCATGATTCTAAAAGCCAAGGTCGAGCTGGTAGAATCAGATAGGTTTGACTGATGCAAGGGCTTAGAAAATATAACTGGAAAATATGTTCCTGCTTTGACAAGCAGAAATATGTTTAGATGATGAAAGTTGCAATGAGATAGTTGTGTAAAATATCAAAAAGGTTTCTTCCTAAATGTGAAGTAATGCTGGGCATACGCACTTGCTCGTAAGTCAGAGGCTTGTGAAAACTTCTTGTCCCTCAGGGCCCCGTTCCTGAAAGCGATCGTAAAGCTAAAATGATCGTAACTCCCATACTTTAACATTGACTTACGACTGTCGTAGCACTGCGATCGCTTTGAGGAACGGGGCCCTGTATTTTAACTAGTCTACACATGTTACATAATGAGCTGCAACACACCTCCTTGACTTTATCAAAAAATATCATGAAGCTCCCCACAAAATATGAGCTGTATTTTCATATCTTCCTAGGAATGTTATACATTTCTATATTGTGCACTCACTGCTGTATCTGTCCGACTCTTGACAGATCAGATCTCGCCACCCCTTCACTCACTAACCTGCTGCTTCCCCCGTTCCATTTTCAGCGGTACTGTCGGTGTCCAACACAAATAAGGACACAGACAGTGGGAACGGCGCCAGCTCCTCCGATGTTATTGTGTTTGGCACCGACATCCAAACATCGACAGAGTTCAATAAGAGTAAGCAGAAAAGAGGGGGATGTAATATTTGCATGGGAAATGATCAATCAACAATATTATCATTTACCTGGGAATAATCAGCAATAACGATTTAGTGGAAATGTTTGATTTATTACAAGGCATTATTCTGAATCTGAGACATAGGTGAGATATAGTTGTATAGTCTAACTGGTAATAGTGAAATCTTGAAAATATTTGTTGCCTCTATAGATATTAACACTTTGCTAGAAGCATAATAAGATGGAATTGAAGATGTTAGTCTCTTAATATTCAACCATTAGGTTTGGGTCCTGCTTGTAAGATCTGCAAAAAGTCTTTCAGCTAATGCTCTCTATGTGTGGCTTTTGCATCGGTAACTTCGGAACTGGTGCATATTCTATGCAGTTGAATAAAATGAATTCTTGTTATTTAAATTCTTGCCATTTCCTGTTTTATTGATGATCATAAAATGAGCTGGTTGGGTGAACATACGAATTCTGCATCGACCCATGCTGTGAATGTAATTATGCTCCCATCACTAATGATGCATGTTGATATGAAGATGAATGTGAGAATGGCATGGTATTTACATCATACCCTTGGCAATACATGTACGCAATGCATGGGCAGTCACACATACTCCAGCTGTAGACATGAGACAGGAACATTGCAGCCATTATAATAGAATGAGCAAGTTATTGTTAACAAAGCATGGGCAGTAAGCTACTAACATAACAGTATGTTATGTCCTTTAGTCTGTATGAATAATTAGAATTTTAATGCTGTTATATGTGAAGATGATACATGCATGTTTGCCTGTTAGGTTGGGTTGTTAAGAATTGCTGGTCAAATTGTGACCCCTTTATGTTATACTTGTATGTATTTACTGCTGAAGTCAGTGAACAGTTGTCATGGGAATTCATCAGACTCGGATCCGATGTTCACAGAATCTCAGATTATTGCTGATCATGATCCATGTCTACCATTGTCACCAAACTCTCAAATATGTCAGAGATCTGGCACTTCGGGTTTTCTCCCTTCATTTGGTAGACAAATTGTGATATTAATGAAAATCACTCACTGTTGCCATGATGTAACTCAAATAATGTTCTGGTTGACCTTACCCCAACTCCCTCCCTCACTCACACTATGACATGTCTGAAGTACTGTCCCACAAAACCCACCAATTCCCGTCTAGACTCTACCATAAACTAGTATTGGTTTAATTTTCTTACAGTTTCATTCGGCACTGAGCTGGGTTTGGAAAGTTCCGAGGAGTCGGCAACGGAAGCTGATGAGGTTGAAGACCGCCGGTCCACGACGTCATGGGAGGACATGAGCAAGCTGGACCCGAACCTGCTGCTGTACAAAGCTGCGGAGGCTCGGAACCTTCCCGTAATGGCGGAGGCACTTGCACATGGTGCAGACATTAATTGGGTCAACAAGGACGATGAGATGAAGTCGCCCATATTCAAGGCAGTGGAGACGGTAGGAGACATTCTGTTGTTTGTAGAAATTAAGAAATCAAATCAAATCAAGATGTTTTCTCATCATTATCATAATAATAAAATTAATGATTAATTAAGATCTTACAAAGCATCACTTTTAAAAACTTGATTTTCGACTCAATTCACTGATCTTGTGACTTCAGTGAAGGACAAAGTCTCTTTCAAACTCGAGTGGTGTAGAAATGTATATGATTCCATAGATCCATGTATCACTGGGACATATTAGTGTGTAGAAGTCTACATTCACTGATGACCAGCTGTAGGAAGAGAAGGACAGTAGAGAGTTAGTGTGCAAACAAGTCGTATTCCACTTCTGGTATATTAGATTGTTTTCAAATTTGAGGACCACTTTCTTTGTGTTTCGGTGAGGTGCAGTGCAAGGTTTGATACAGATCTTGTCTATAGAATAGTCATTATTGTTGTTGTTCAGCTTAAGCTGGGAGTCACAGTCAGGGGTGAGCCTACTTACATTTTTGGGTTTGTTTCAATATTGTAATGAGAGCTTCAGGGACCTGTAGTATAATTCAATATCATGTTGTACTGTATTTATGAGAGTCTGCAACCAAGGCTGTTATGACTGTTATGTCCTTGTTGGTTTCAGGGGTCTCTGGCTGCCTGTGAGTTCCTACTGCTGAATGGAGCCAAGCTGGACAGAAAGGACAGCCAGGGTCAGACACCGCTACACCTCGCCACGGTGCACGGACACACAGGGTCAGTTCAGTTCTGGTGCAGATTTACAATGGACACTTCAAATTATTTTAAGGACATTTAAAAAGTGATGAGGCTTAGGCAACTTGACAGTCCTAGCCAATTTTTTTTTAAGTTATTCAAAACCAAAATTGTTGGTCTTCAATCTCAATTTGATGGTTTTATGGTGTTATCCTACTGATATATTATGCAGTAGTTTTGCATGGACACCACATTCGGACATTGTATACTGACATGGGGCTGGTCAGTCCTTGTTTTGTCCCCTTAATGTTGAGTGCCAGGCAAGGTGACAAAGTGCCATCTCTAGGATGCTTTAAGGCATCAGATGAGCTGGGGAAGAAAGTGGTTGTTGAACAACTTGAATCAACTTTGTTAAAACTGAAGAAAAAAAAAAAATTCATAAATGTGAAAAGGGTAGGTCTATTATGTTAATAAAGAATGCTTTATATTGATGAAGGCCACCAAGTTTGTAAATATGGTATTTTGACATGGTAGACTGACAAGTGTTTTATGTTAATAAAGAATGCTTCATATTGATAAAGGCCACCAAGTATGTAAATATGATATGCCAACAAACTGAGACTTGGTATGTTTCTTTACCAGTGAGAGGGTAGACACAATGCTGATCTGAAACACGGATGGTAAACAATTGTATCTGTCATTCATGGATTTCTCAATTTGATCATTTTTTGTATTGTGTTTCAGACAAGTGTGTCAGTTTTTAAAGCGAGGTGCCAATCAGAAAGCACAAGACAACAATGGAAAGGTAGAGAGTCATGGCCAGTTAGAATTCTTGTAACATATGTTGACTGATTGTAATTTGGAAAATCTGTAAATTTCTTTTGTAATGAGGCATTGCATTCTTGCAATTTGGACAATGATAAGGAATGAAAACAATGAGTTCATGAAAATTAAATTTGCTATAAAGGAACAGTTTGTGTGATCTTACAACAAGAAATAGAAAATGTAATACCTTATCTACCATCTCTTCAAATTTCCTCCCCCCCCCACCCCCAAAAAATTAAAAATATCAAGGAATTACAGTTCTTTAATTGTTTCCTTGGTATGACAATTTATACTGCGTCAGTGTATCAAAATTAACCTGACAATCAAGTGTTGTAGGTTTAGTGTATCCCTATATGTTCACATGTTGCTGGACACATCAGCCCTTCCCATGTAGTTCTACAGTAGACTGTTGTTAGTCTGTGGGGTGGTGGGGTAGCCTAGTGGTTAAAGCGTTGACTCGTCATGCCGAAGACCCGGGTTAGAATCCCCACATGGGTACAGTATGTGAAGCCCATTTCTGGTGTCCCCCGCCGTGATGTTGCTGGAATATTGCTAAAAGCGGCGTCAAACCAAACTCAGTCAGACAGTGTTAGTCTGTGATAAACAAACAGGGTACCGTTGTACAAAGTGCTAAGGTGATTGGTACCATGCATTAACAGTTAGCATTAACCTTAGCACTGAGGTTAACATTGTTAGAGCTCCCTTCAGTTTGATTACCATGGTTGTATGCGACTACACGTGGACTTCGATTATGTTTTCAGGACCCACTGTCTATAGCCATTGCCAATGCAAATGCTGATATAGTTACACTGTAAGTATGCAACGCTTTTGATTTGCAACACTAGAAGTATGTAGGATTTTGTAACCAAATTTGTGTGACGTATGAATTCATAGAAAATTGATTATTTTTTCTGCCACGCTATGAATAATTTAATTTAGTCTTGTACATATATGGGGACAAACTTAGGGTATAGCAATAAAAATGCTCCTGGGGTGATGGGATTCAATAGAAACATACACACAACTTTTGACTTGAGTGTTCTTGATGTTAATGTGCTCATCATTTTCTGTGTTTGTCAATTTCATGTGTGTTAAATACATCAAGCACTGGCTTCGTAATATAGACATTATTACAAGATGTCATTGATAGAAAGCAGTAGGTCTGCATGTGCTGTTCGGGCACCATGGTTGTAATTTAACCGTGCCCTTGGTTCTAACTTACAAGGCATGTCTCTCCCTGCACTGATGAGCACGGGTTCTGTTTCAGTCTGCGTCTGGCCAAGCTGAATGAGGAGATGAAGGATGACGCCTACAGCGGGAACCCTGGTAGGTGATTGACAGGAATATTCCTCATACCTCCAGGGGTTCAAAAAATCCCATCGCCCGACGTCCGGGACAAGTCAGTTTTCATTTCGGGCAATCAAATAATGGTATCTTTCTTTTCCGTGGGCTACTAGATCATCTCTGCTTGCGGTTTCAAACTGCAAATAAACTTGGATTTCATTTCATATCTGCTCAAAATGTAGCTATTAAATTACGCAATGATAATTAAGTAGAGTTATCCTTTTTTGCTATTTATCACTTCTCGATAAATAGTCCAGTGAACATTAACATCAAATACCATGTTGATGTATTCTTTCATAAATACATCATCATGATTATGTCATAAAAATCAGGGCAAGTGGAAAATTAGCCAGGACAAGTTACTTTCTTAAAGTGGCTTTTAATATTTTTTTTTTGTACCCCTGACCTCATACGTACATTTCCTGGATAGCCTGCATTGTTCTTATAATGCACTTGGTGCCATTGTACAAAACAATCTTAACACAAAGGTGATCATAACTCCCATACCTTAGCATAGACTTACGACTGACGTAGTGCTGTGGTTGCTTTGTACAATGGCGCCCATCAATGGTACTCCAGTCCTTGTGGCCCTTCGACAACCCTGTGGTATACGAGCATGAGGTAACACTTATTGAGAAGTCCTTAAAATTCTTAACCTCTTTGTTTGGTATGTTTCGGTCCATTGAGACATCCACACAGGCCATCCCAAAGTTTCTGCAACTTTAGAGCATTTATTTAATTTCATAGAAGTGTTCTTGTTTTACATGCTCTCAGAAGGTATGAAAACTTCATAATGAAAATCATGAATGGAATGTGTGATGAAAGTAGTACTGATAATATAAAAGTTCACGTATTAGCCAATCAAATCACTCGAAGGTGTTATGACACATTTGTGTCATAACACTATGTTATGAAACCCCTTTACGAACTAGCACGTGGGTAATATTTAAGGTTATGCTTCGGTTATTCAGGTGACGAAAGCAGCACTTTCAACGATGTCTTCCGGGATTTCACAAACATGGCGTCAAACAACCCAGAGAAGTTAAAGAGGAAATAACGTCTTTCACTAAACGTCTCACGAGGACAAAGTTGTAGAAGATAACACTACACAATGGCTGTATACTCATCTTCTGAATCTGTTTATGTTGTTAAGTTAGATGGATGCTTTTCTAAGAAAACAATGTCAACATTACTTGAATGATGTTAAAAGAATGACCATCGTTTTGTTTGAATGTCAGTGTTCAACTGAAGAACCAATGAGTATTTATGGCTTTATTAAGTCAAATCAGGAACAGAAGGAATGGATGTTTATGAAGTAGCTGGACCAACAAAAGAAACTCACCTTTGATTATTTCACTCAATTTGCCCCTGGGTTTATTCTACAGCCATGAGGGAGCGCAGGTTGGGTTTATGTAAGATATTGCTCCATTGAGGATGTCTACTGCTATGGTTTTGTGTTGACCCAATGGTTGATTTGCTTCAACAACATACTAGATGTTCTGTGCGGAGTTGCCTCCCTTGGACATGCCAGGAACCAGTTATTGTGGGTCAGAATCCTGGTCCACCTGATTATGTTTCTTGGTTTGTCAACACACTTGTTAGTGAACTAGGTGAACATCTTCGATATGTATCACTTCTGTCGTTTCCCCCACACTAACCTGATGTACTAATACAACTGAAATGCTGTTGAAAGCAGTATTACAATCCAACAGACTCACTGTTTGATGTGAAGCCATGGATCAAGGATACACTAAGACTAATCTCGTCAATGTTATGTTACGACATGTCAGTTACTGTCAAAACTGTGGTTTGTGCTTTCATTGATTATGACATCATAACATTGTGTTATAGTGATGTCACAGCACATAGGATTAACTTCCTGGTACATGTATGTATGTGTGATAAAATGGTGATATTTCTTGTTGCTCATGGAGATCCATAGTGACAAGATGAGCAACACACAACAATTAGTATTTGGGAAATAGAAGTGGGCATTCTTACTGGAGCTTTTGTCAGTGCCATTCAATACTTTCGGTGCTGTAAAGTAAATTTTCATGTATTCTCCCCCAACAATACATAAATTACAGACATCCATTTTGTTGTCCAAGCAGTGCTTGAATGTCTCAGTATTGATGGCCACAAGCAGCTCCATCCATAACAGTCTATATAACAATGTCTCCATGTTAAACTAGTTTTATACTCTCTTATGACTTTGTCCCTGGTCTATACCAATACGTATTGACTGTCTTGATGTCTCAGAGCTAAGCTACAAACCTGTGTATTGTATATAGAAGTATTATACCACAGCATCATGTTGCTTTAACAGTGATCACTGTTGTATATTGTAGCCAACTGTCAGACACACCTAATATATACACCAGTACTCTGTTGCATATAGGACAGCTTCCCCAGCATGTAGCACCTGGTTTCATTATGACAGACATTTATCATGTTCTGATATCATAAAAAGGCATTCATTGTTGGATATTCAGGTAATATTTGTTAAGCAAAACAAACAACCCCCAAACATGTTTTCTATTTCAGTCGGGGCGGTGGGGTTGGCTCGTCACGCCGAAGAACTGGGTTCGAATCCCCACATGTGTACAATGAGTGAAGCCCATTTCTGGTGTCCCCCGCCGTGATATTGCTGGAATATTGCTAAAAGCGGCATAAAACCAAACTCCGTCAGTCTATTTCAGTCCATCCAAAAATGTTTGAAACTCAGTAATTGGCAGTTTATCAGTGAAAGCCTGTTTGAACATGATGACTCTTATATCTACAGTGAAGGGCTACAAATTATTTTAGTGAAATTAAAATAGGGACAATACCAGATTTTGAACAACTCCAGAAGAAAGGTTTAGGTTAAAGACTCATAATTAGTCAGTATTTGAATAGATGACAGGTCATTATTTTAGCTGACAAAGTACATGGGCATTTATAAAAGGAAATACACAGTCTTTCTGAACATGTCCTATTTTGTGCATGTTATTACAACATGAAATAGCAATATGAAAAACTCTCAAGACTGACCCATGTCAAAGGACATGAATTCATTGTCCATGGAATTATGGACCTATATTTCCTGCTTGCCTACCAAATGGTATATTCTTTTGGTTAGATTTCAGCCAATGGATGGAAGTCTATTCAGTTAGTATCACCAAGTTTTTACAGCACAGTTTAGGTTGTGAAACTTTAGTGTTTGCCTTGTGATATTTTTCATTTGAAAATTGTCCAGCTATTTTGCGAATCATATTGACACCAAGTGGCTTAAAATGTCCATCAACCACCTCAAATGTTATTTTCCTAATCCCATTTTCACATGAGTGCTATTTTAGAAAAGACTTGTTTTACATTCACTTGTTCAGAAGTAGTTTGTGTGAGATTGTGGTCGTTTTGGTCACAAAAGTTTAACTGGCAGAGTGTTTTTGGTATGGAGGTCATGATTTTAAGATGTTGGTCTGATGCTGGTGTAATAATTTTCCTGAACAAAGTTGTGTGTATTTTCTCCAGGACCACTGTTAGGTCTCCAGGACACAGTAAGGTCTCCAGAATCACCATAAGGTCTCCAGGACCACTGTTAGGTCTCCAGGACACAGTAAGGTCTCCAGAATCACCATAAGGTCTCCAGGACCACTGTTAGGTCTCCAGGACACAGTAAGGTCTCCAGAATCACCATAAGGTCTCCAGGACCACTGTTAGGTCTCCAGAATCACCATAAGGTCTCCAGGACCACTGTTAGGTCTCCAGGACACAGTAAGGTCTCCAGAATCACCATAAGGTCTCCAGGACCACTGTTAGGTCTCCAGAATCACCATAAGGTCTCCAGGACCACTGTTAGGTCTCCAGAATCACCATAAGGTCTCCAGGACCACTGTTAGGTCTCCAGGACACAGTAAGGTCTCCAGAATCACCATAAGGTCTCCAGGACCACTGTTAGGTCTCCAGAATCACCATAAGGTCTCCAGGACCACTGTTAGGTCTCCAGATTCACCATAAGGTCTCCAGGACCACTGTTAGGTCTCCAGGACACAGTAAGGTCTCCAGAATCACCATAAGGTCTCCAGGACCACTGTTAGGTCTCCAGAATCACCATAAGGTCTCCAGGACCACTGTTAGGTCTCCAGATTCACCATAAGGTCTCCAGGACCACTGTTAGGTCTCCAGGATCACTGCCACAAAGTGATGCAGAGCTATAACTGTCAGAACTCACACCACCTAGTTTTAAGAACCTGAAAGACCAATGATATTTTTCACTTATTATTTATCACTTCTTTCACTGGTCCTCAAGACAACTAGGCACAGAAGTTCAATCCCTGAGGATGAAGAAACTCATGATAGTGGGTTTGAATCCCAATTTAACTCAGAACAGCACTCTAGGTTTGTTAGCACCATACCAGTCTTCATGGTTTCCACTGAAGCAGTATGTTTGTGATTTACATCACTGTTTCATCTCGCCAGGATATCTTCTGATATTGAATATATGTATCTCCACAATAGTCGTTGAAAGTTTATATCATAAACTCTGAGGTTTCATAGTTTGTGAAGAGTAGTAACCAGTGTCTAGAGTGTGAAAACTACAGCTAACCAACTTCAGGGACAGGGACAAGAATCCTGATGTCATGGTAACCTGTGACATCACAATGATTTGCATAGCATTGTGATTCAGTTTCATTGTAAGTACATCTAGAGCTGACCAATCCTGTGTAAGCCAGTTTGAATGTAACAAGTCTTTAGGTGTTGTCTTTACAATATTTACTCTCTAATAATTCACTTTCTGCAAAAAAAATGTGAATCATGGTCACAGACTGCTTTTTCATACTTGTCATGTTTTCATTGCTAAATTGGGTACAATGTGTGAAGCCCATTTCTGGTGTCCCCCGCCGTGATGTTGCTGGAATATTGCTAAAAGCGGCGTAAAACCAAACTCAGTCAGTCAGTTCATTACTAAATACAGACTTGGAATGTTATTATGGAGTATTCATGAAGCATGTCTCAAAGGAAAAAATGTATGACTCAAATCTGATTTTTATGTTCATCAAAAACATTGTCTGTGTACGTTTTTTGTTCTATCAGTGCTTTGACTCTTGTCTGAAAACAGAAGATATAGCAGAGTTAAACTCAATCATCTTTTGTCATAAGTGTGTACTTGCTCAAATCTGAGATCTATTTATTTGTCCAAAAGTTTGTATGTCCAATTATCCTGTAAAGCATCAATCATTTTGATTTTGTGACTTTCTTACTTGATAAATTGACATGATCTCCCCAAAATAAAATGGCCCGATTAGTATGATGATTTGTAGAGAGTTTGTGGTATGTCTGTGAAATATGTGGTTTATGCATTAATTCAATATTTCAACAGATAATGGATCAAATGTTTTACATATTTGAGATTATCAGTGCACAGTGTTAATTCAATTTAAATCAACATTTGAATGTACTGGTATATAAAAAAGCTTAAACCATTTTAAGCTGTTATGTTACCTACAAAAGGCACAAAATCATTTCTGTCAAGGGAGAATCTACAAAAAGGTTTATTTTATTCATAGAAAAAGTATTGCTCACCAAGCATAGTGGTCCCATGTTGACAAGATCCTGCAGTCCCAAAGTCAGTATTAGTTTATATCACAAAATATAATCTATTACCGGTAATATTACCCTAGTTAGTTGAAAATACTAATATACTGAGAGTAACAAATAAAGGAACGTTCAAGCATTCCTTTAATATTTTACAGTTTTCACATCACCAGCTTTGAATAGCACTGTGGGAGGAAATCTGGAAGTGTTCCCTTATTTGTTTCCCTCAGTATATATAATAGGTGCACCCATAAAGGTATTTATGCATTTGTTTAATGGTGATTGTGTGTGGATGCACACCATTACTTGGTATATATAGTCAGTCCAGAAGTTCAAAATCTCCATTTCATACACTAAATTTTACACTCTAAAATCTGACTGATATAATGTCTCTCAAATAGGAAGTATGTGGGGAGCAGTTTTCAAAGTGTGAATTTAAAACATTCCTCAATTTAAAGACATACTCCAAATGTAGCACAAGAATGCAACACAAGAAAGCTTTTGAATTAATAGTGATACTGTTTATTTTGAAATTACAAATTCAATAATTATAGCTGTTGATTTACTTGAATATGTTGAAGAGTTATTTAAGCACCTTATGGAAATTAAGATTATTATCTGGCATGAATCCATTGAATCGCTTCCTTGCTACCTATATACAACCTTACACCATGGAATATCAGTTGTTACTACACAGTGCCTTAGCGCTTATTGCAGAATCCATCATTTGTTGTTGGTGTATTCATGGAAGAACCTTTTAATTTGACTCTGTAAACATATTATTAAATTGATTATTGTATTCTTTGCAAAATTAACTGAACTTGGTTTTCAGCAACCCATGTCGGGTTGTATATTTCCGCAGCCTTGCATTAGCTAGAACAGGTGATGGCATCATTCAGGTATTCTCAGCTTAAATGCTTTCCTAATGTTTTTGTATTTTGCTTGTACATAATGTCTCTCATGTTTTCTGTTGGAGCTACATAGTTATTAATCATGTAAATAAGCAATTTTGTAAATACGATTTCAGCCTATTTTGTACATTGTGGATATTGTTTACAAATGATGTGTTGAGTATTTTTGAATATTTTGGCTTGAATATATACAATTTTTGCAAGAATGTATTGGAATATATTTGTAGATCAGAAACTGCTTGATTAGATTTCTTGACAACATATGTCTTGTGTTTAGTATCAGAATGATGTGTAAATTGTTATGCTTTGATCAAAGCTTTGATGTAAATGTTTGGATATTTTAAGAAATAAGTTCGGTACATTCAGACAGGATGAGAGGCTATTTAAAAAGATTTCAAGCCAGAGAACATAAAAGTGTCTTTAAACTGAAGAGATAGTTTCAGTTCTGACTTGAAAAGTGTTCTTTTTATGCCTACATGTGTCACAGCATCTATGGATACTTTTAATACCACTGCAAGAAACCAAGCTGAACCTTAAATATTTTTTATTCACATGTATAGTCTGTTTGGCTAAAAAAATCGGACCGATGAATTGCAGTCTAACTCGAAAACTAATAAACATAAAATACTCAAAGAAACGCTGATCATAATCAAAACATCATACCAACTCTGTGAGTTTTTTGCAGAAATTTTGTCCTAAAACTAAAAAAGTTGTTTAACAAACTATCATTAAGGTATTGACACAGTTCACTATTTGTTACGAGGGAGAAGTGCAGAGAAAGGGACAACCAGGTGTTCGAGAATGGATGGAGACGGCACAGCACAGGTTAATGAATGAATAACTTTGTCTGTGAATGTGCTTCTCGAACACCTGGCTGTCATCGGTCCGCTTTTGAGCCAAACGGACTGTAATAAATGTATTCACATAGTAATACCAAAACCATGTCACAGATGTGTGTCCGAAGACACAGCTATATGGATCTGTCTCAATGCATTTAGGGGTTGTGTTGAAAGTTTTAGCAAATACAGTCACACAAAAATGATTTGCAGTTTGCAATAAAATATAGGATAAGTGGCTTTATTTCTTGTTTTGCACGTTGGATACAACCCCTTCTGCAACCTCTGACCTCTTTGTGAAGTTTTTGTTAACATGTATGGAACCTCACATTGGTTTACACGGTAAACAGTTAAAGCAGTTGTTTGAATTTGTAAGTGGTGGTGACCTACAATAACTATGGAAGATTATGGCCTGGAAATAGAGATTATTACACGAGCAAGTGTGTCATACGACTTATATGAAACGAGTGCGAAATTTTGCACGAGTTTCTTCTAAGTCATGTGGTACACTTGCAAGTGTAATAATTTTTTTTATTATCTATTTTATTCATGTGCATTTGTGCATTAAAACACGGTAAGCAAGTGTGACTGCCCAGTTCAGAAACTGACATCTTAGATTTTAATTCTTGTAGATGATTTTCAATGCTCTGTTGTATTCGTGCAGCTCAGTCACATTTCAGTTACCTCTATTATCCAACCCAAACTTCACTGAAACAAGTGCTGAAACCATCTTTGATTTGATAAGTTATTACCTATTTATGTATGACTGTTTACATAGTGAATATATGGTACATTTTTACCTAATTTTGCAATCAACTATACTGAAACCCATATTTGTTCAACTACCAAGACGTATTGTAAGTTCAAATATAGATGACTTATTTATGCACCTTTTTTGGTTTTGCATTGAACCAAATTTCACCATCATGTATTGAAACCTACTTTCATGTTTTGTTAATTATGATGGAATCTGAGGATTCAAATATGTGTTTGTAGTTATCAAAAGCTGTAGATGGTGAAGGACTAACAAGATTTCCCACGTTACAATGTCTTGAAAATGATGTTGTTGGTGTATATACGGTTTGGGTTATGAAGTATGGCAGTAATGATGAAACAATTACCAATTTAACACTGAAAGCCCACAGTGATTCAGGTAAAGAATGTTAAAACACTATGGATAGTCGAGTGGCGGACGGGGGGGGGGGGGGTTTGAAGCGATTGCTCGTCACGCCAAGGACCCTGGTTCGATTCCCCACTGGGTGCAATGTGTGAGGCCCATTTCTGGTGTCCCCTGCCATGATATTGCTGGATTATTACTAAAACCAGCGTAAAACTAAACTCACTCATTATGGTAGTTGAACAGACATATCTTTAGAATCTCCAGATCCTGACATGGCAAAGGGACATAATTGTCTTAATTGTAGACTCTATAGGCTATATCTAGAATAGGAACAATTGATAAACTTGGGTTAGATTTAAGATGTGAACTTTGGCATTGTACAATTTCTGTAAAGGAATTGATTGAGAAGGTATTAAATATTCTACTCATGTATAAACTGTTCTATTCTCGTATAGGGAAGGTTGCAATTATTCATGAGAAGTTAATAATAAATGGGGCTATCAATCACAAATAGAGGTTTCATGTGCAGATATGTGATCTTGAATGAACAGGATAGGATGTCACTTAATCCCCCAATATTTCATCTGAAAATGAAGAACTTGCAAATCGAAACATGAATTTTACATGGTGTTTAGTCGAATAAGAATGACATTTTGCAGTTGCTTTAAGGAACGTTTGTCACCGATGTGCTTTATAAGCTATTACAGGCATACAGTGTTACTTTAGTTTCTCAATGGATATTGTTCTGCAATCATTAGCATGTTATAAAACATATATTCTTAGAAATGAGTTTCTGTTGTATACTTTCAGTTGAGCTAAATGTTTGAAAAATGTAAAGTGAGTTAGTAAGAAGAATCATTAAAGAAAGCCATTGATGACTTTGGTAGCATGTGCAATTTTCATAATATATATCAATCTTAATATGCATTTCCTCACATTGTCCTGAATACCATGTATGTACACCATCCCTTGAAATCATTCTTTCAACCCCACAACTTTGAGATAAGACTTTAATATGATACAGTGGGGAAGAAGAAATTACAATTATGATTAATTGTAAATAGTTGTGATTCATTATTTATGTTGATTTTATGGACTGGAACATTTCAAACCAACCCAAGTCTCTCAGTGTTAAGCTCTGTCAGATGACTCCTATACACATACTTGTAGACTGTTCATTATTGCATCTAGTCAACCTCATCGCTAATTATATACCCATCAACTAAATGTGTGGGCTAAATTTACCAGCTTTATTAATTCTACAACTGACAGACTTGCAGATGTGGTTTTATCATTAGGAAAACTACAAAAAATATTGAACAATTATACAGGCAATTTTCAGGAATTAACTGTAATGTCATTGGCATAAATAATAGTATTGGTTTTGAGACAGTCCCCATCAATGAAACATCAGGTACTCAGCTTTTAACCCAGGTAACAGAAAGTGACATCATATCTGTATATCACACAAATTAGCAAGAGGCTGATCCTCACTGCTTGAACATATTTAAATATTCATCCTGTAATACTTTTAACTGCTTGAACTAGTGGCAGCATATAAAAACTTGGTGCACTACTTTATGCATTTAGTTACGCAGTCATGGAAACTAAGTCTTCCTGTAAATATTTTAGGTAGTACGCTAAAGTTTATACTTGGATAATTTGCAAACCGGATGAGTATCATGAGATCGTAGCTATTTCTGAACAGTTTTGACAGTATATGATAGGGAAGAGAGTACTTAGTGAAATATGACTACGAGATGTGAAAAAGAAAAGCATCAGCAAGTCTGTCTGTGTCCTCTATGCACGTCAGAGTAGTCTGGCTATCATGTATTCCTACTGTGGTCTGTCTGTGTGACCTTGGTATGTGCGCTCGGTAGACTGTTGTTTGTACACTTGCCAGTCGGATGTGCCAATAAAAAGCCACACAGGTGGACACTGTTTCACAATTTGTTTGTTTTCTTTCTTTCTGATTGTTTGTAGGTTGCTTTATTCTACACTCCATAATATCTTATGTATCTGATGGCAGTGTGTCAGTGATTTAGTCAATCTAGTGATTGACATTAAGAACATGTAGAATATGGTGACAGATAATTGACCATAATTTGTTCAAGAGGTTCAAATCCAGTTTTTTAATATGGCTGCCAATATATTTTTTCAAAGGAATATCTGTTTGAAACAACAACAATAAAACCACAGACAAGAGTCCTAAGGCAGTTAAGGTCATGGTGACCCACACACTTGATGATAGAACCATTAAGATTCATGCCTGCATAATGTTCTAAAATCTGCGGGGCGGTGGGTAGCCTAATGGTTAAAGCGTTGGCTCGTCACGCCGAAGACCCGGGTTCGAATCCCCACATGGGCACAATGTGTGAAGCCCATTTCTGGTGTCCCCCGCCGTGATGTTGCTGGAATATTGCTTAAAGCGGCGCGCAAAACCAAACTCAGTCAGTCAGTCAGTCTAAAATCTGCAAGTCTGTCAGAGTGCAGTTTACAAAATATATTGTTGAAATCTTTATCAATGTATCTTTGCTAACAGCCACACCTACACCAGACTCAACTCTGTAGTAGGTATTGAGAGGGAATGAATGTTGTTTTAAGCTGCAATGTTGAAGCTCTGTCATGATGGCTGCAAATAATCAAGCCTGGTACAAACATCCAATGTTTGATAACATGAACACAATCTGCCCAGTCTAACATTGTGACACACCAGCAATGAAGACGCACACTATTATCAACCAATAAACATTTCTGTCATTGTTAATGCATGCCTGGCAGTGATTATGCCTCGTAACACCCACCAAGCAAGTATGCAACAGAGTAGAGAGATTAACTGAAAGTATAGATATCAACTGTAATATGACATTTGTGATGGAACAGCATTAACGACAAGTAACAATTTTTCAACTTAAAACAAGTTAAAGATGGAGGGTGACCGGTCTTCCCCTCCACCACTGCCGAAGGAAAAGGCAAAATCGGACTTGTTCGGTGTAGGAGTGTTGTCACTGCCAAAATTGAAACTGAAGTTTTGTGGTGTTCTGGCTCCTCTGGTTGGTGACTCAAACATGGACAGGAAGGAACTTGAACGATCGCTTCGCTCAGATCCTCTACTGAAGATAAAACTTGTTTCTGCTGTTTCAGGGTGGTCTGAAATAATGAGATGCTCATAATCCATGTTGCAATCTTTGTTGCAATCTTTGTTGAAGCTTTTTGTTTGGTTAATTATACTGAAAGAAACTAAACAGTATCTGAAGTTGCAGACAAAAATTTTCTGAATTTATTTGACAGTTAACGACTGATATGCTTCAGGTTATTTTTCTGGCTTTGTTGATGAATTTGCAGATTTTCATTCATCCTTGTTTAACAAATTCGATAAAATTAGAGATCACACTGACACCATATTATTCCACAGATTTGTGTCCTCGGATGACAGAACATTGAAAGAAACTGTAAGAGATGACTGATTGTAAGACTTAAGGGTTAATAGGACTTTACACAACCTGTGAACAGTCATAATGAGGTGATGAGGTGAAATTGGGTTTTACGTCGTGCCTGAGATTATTTCGCTCATATGACGACGTGCATGCGTGTGTATGTGTATGTGCAGCTGCTTGTACTAGCCCAGACTGAAGCTGGTTTTATAGTGCTAGCCCACTGAGGTACCATGCCGCAGTGAAGCATGAATACCCCACTCAGACATATTATACTGACTCCGAGCCGACCAGTCCTTGTTGTACCCATTAATGCCACGCAGGGACCAACAAGTACCATAGTTTAACGTCTTTCAGTCATAATGAAATAATTAAGCTGGTCGCCTCACCCGTCTTATCTTGTGCCTGGAACAGATTCCCAGACAGAGGAGTATCAGGAGAAGAACTGAACATGCTCGACATCAGCTGGTCAACCTCTGATCTGCCATCACTCGATGACTGAAACACCCATGATCTCAAGCTACTTAAATACAAACTAATTATGACATTGAGGAAAACCAAATTTGTCTTACTTCACCTACAAAGCCAGGGGTCTATAGAAACCCTAATTACAAATTTCAAGGGTGCTTACAAAAAATATGAGGTTCCCATGTAGAAATACATTGTAATATGGTGTAGCGTTCTGTACTTTAAGATTTGATCATTACTTCAGTAAAACGAAATGTATATTTCTTGTCTAGAATTTGGTATAATGAATATTATTTAAGTCCCTCTGAAACATGACATGTTTTCTGCAACCATTCTATACATTTGTGTTTACTGACTAGATATCTGCATCACATAAAGCCCTGTAAACATAACATATGTTGACCAAATCCCATAATTTTCTCACAATTGTTAATTCTACCATGACATTTAAGAGTCCTGCACCTGTCTGATCTGCCAGTGATACAGAATCTACATTAGGCCATGATCATGCTAGTGATTGCATTAATGAACAAAAAAAATCAATTCAGAAGCACAGATTGTGGAAAAATTCTGACCTTACTTTTTATATTGCTGAATAACATTTTGCGATTCCTACATTATTTAAAGACTATTTTATTTGATATAAATGATGAACACTTAAAAAGTGCAAGACCAGCGACAATCTTGTGGACTGGTGAGTTTGGATAGCCTAATGGTTAAAGCGTTTGCACATCATGCCAAAGTCCAAGGTTCAATTCTTCACATGGGTATAATGTGTGAAGCCCATTTCTGGTGTCCCCCCACCGTGATATTGCTGGAATATTGCTAAAAGCAGCGTAAAGCTAAAACTCCTTGTGGACTACCCATTAGACAGCAACTAGCAGGACAATTCTGCAAATCAACAGAAAAAAAGACAAGATTTTTCTAACCTTGTTGAGTGAGTGAGTTTCCCCTGAACTGAAAGTCTGTAGAAATGGACCTGGACTTTTACTCTCAATCTGTAATAAATAAATCTGCATGCACTTCACATTGGGATGTCAGGGTGTATTGAACATAACATGGTGCACTCGTGGGTTGATATATCAGCACTTTACATTGTATCAGGTTTGTACAGAAGCCCCGTTTATTAGGTACATGTACTTGTAAATGTAATGTTGACAAATAGAGCCCTTCAGGGTGTCATGAAATACCTCATAAAGTTGTGATATAAGTATACAAGCTTTGCCACATATGGGATACAAGATAAAGGTTATTACAAAGCCTGCAAGTTAGGTCAGTTTGTGTAATGCTGAGGTTATCCCACTCGCAAGGAGACTTTCAGGATTTTAAAGGGTTGTTGTTAAGTTTAATTCTGTTCAAGCTGTTAAGTGTTGATTTCAGTAATTTGCTAGAGACAAATATGTTTTTAACAACTTTTTTATGAGATTCATTTATATCATTACCACATATTATAACATCTTTTGTACATTTTGGAAGGCAATCAGTTTACGTCAAAGTAACCAATCAGAATCACTGAATTTGCATCCCTGTTAGCACTAATATCTTGATGGTGAGGTTGCAATCAATATAAACTTGCCACCTGTCACATTAAAGAGTCATGTTTGTCATCAATGACTAGTAACTCAAAGACACCTACCATCCAGTAAAAACAGTTATCATCACATTCTACAAATAGAAGTCGAGCTTACATAAAGGGCTACAACATGGCATCATATTTCTAATAAGTAGCTACAGAGTTGTAATAAACATGTACATAAAGGAGGAGGTCTTACTTGTGCCCCATCACCCGTAAACATTGGTCTCTGGGTGTACATCGGTCCTCCCGGGGACTTGGCCAGGGAGTTGACCTTCTGAAGGTGTTTCTCCAGGTCAAATGGACTCTCTGGATCAATTTGATATTCCACAGTCTGGCCTGGAGTGGTCGGACCTGATAGGAAGGAAGAACAGATTTGACAGATTTCGCATTCATTGCCTCCAGTAAACTGATTCTAACAAAACAACAGTAGTATCTCTATCTCCAGCAATGGGGTAAATTGGAATTTTGTTAGTTCGCGGACAAAATATACATGGAGAAAGCGAAAATAACAGTAAAAGAAGAAACAATTACTGCTTCAATATTTTAATATAATGTTGACAAGCATCTTTTAGATAAGCTTACACACTTTTATTCATGTAATTTAGTAGTTTCTGAGAAAATGTGCAACTGGAGACATGATGCATTAAGATAATCCAGGGCCACAACTCATTTGTCATCATGACCAATGACAGCAGTGTCCAAATGTCATTGCCCCAGATGGGGGATATTAAATCAGCAGCTGACAACACCACTTCCCATTCCATTTGATTATTGTCCATGTATTGTGCCATAGTAGTAATAACAAAATGATTCAAAATGTTTGTGGGTCTTTAAGATTTCAGACAGCACAGAATCATATGATGTCGCTGAAGGATGTAAGGTTCAGAAAGTTCTTGAAGTGTGTGTGTTTGATTCTACAATCAGCACAATGACATTTTTATCATAGCAACAAGTACATAACTCAGTAGAACCCAGTGGTTGATAACGCAAGCACTGATCATTAACATTTACCAGTTGTCAGCAACGATGTACTGAGACCAATGTGCACAATGAACACTATACATATACCGATACAGTAACTATTTAGTTTCAGGTAACACATACATGGCTTTGATCTGTCAGGGCTCTCCATGACAACATTATCGGGTGCTTCCTGGGGACTCTTGCTGGGACCTGAAACCTCACCTGAAAGTACATACCCGGTACTGGAATCCAAATGTTCGAAGTCTTAAATATTGTCTCTGATTGAAAATGTATGGAAAGCACTTGTTAGTCACAATCTTTTGCACTGGCGCTTAATCATTAAAATGTTAAAATCTTCCATGGCTTGCTATAACCTCTCTTGGTCTTAGATCAGATGTGTACTGCCACAGTTTCTGCCCAGACTCCACACTTGCTTCCACAATACAATTCCTCTAAAACTGATATTTTTGAGTATTTTTAGCATGACCATAATATTTTATTATTTTTTACCTCATCACTGGAAGTCTGTTGAAATTGATGCAGATATGTCATATATTTTACTGTAAAACATGTCAAGCCCAAATACGTATTAAAATGTTATCAGTTACTTGTGAAAAATGTGTCTTTCCAGAATTTAATAGAATGTTATCAGGGGTTATTCATATTCAGGAAAGTCACTGAAAAGCGTACTTTCTGTACACCTTGGAATGGACATAAAACAACCAATATCAGATAAGAATAAAAACCTAACCTGGCTTATCAAAATGATGGGATGTTACAGGTGTGGTGGATGTGTGTTCCACAATGGACATGGGGTGTCCCACTGGGCCAGCATCCAATTTTCGTGGGGCAGTCAGATTTGGATATGAAGGGTAGTGATGAGGTTGAGGCTCACTGATTGGAGACAGGAATCGAGATGCGCCAACTGCTTCTGTGCTGAAAGTGTAAAAAAGGCTCCACATATTTCCTGCAGTATTGGCTTTTTCTTTTGTTTCGGTTAAATTCTAATACATTTCTTTGTGTGTGTTGTCTTAAAAGTATTGCACTTGACAATACACATTTCAAAGTACATTTCATGCATATAAGATTCCTGCATCTGATCAGGAAATACGATCTGATTGGAAACACAGGTATGAAAACTGAAAAGGCTTATATAGTGTTACTATGCAAGTTGAAACAAAAAATTTTGGTGATTATATTTTTCCGGACATTTTTGTGCTTAAGCAATGTAAGAATATCTGGGAATGGCGACTTATTTTGTAAATATAGGTGAGAGAGGCCATGAGGAAGGATATTTGACCATAGTTATGGGGCTCTAAGCCCATGGATGAATCACAACAAATCTGGGTTCAAACCAAGAGTCAGCAGATCCTGGCACAGCTGAGTGATGCAACTCTGTATCCTATTTTGATATTCTATCTACCCAGGTACCTTTTTTGACCTTCTGGAGTAGATGGAGGAACAGGTGCTTGTTTTGCTGGTACTCGGATCTGGTTCAGTACTATTGGCAACCTAGGGACAGATGCTGAGTGTCTTTTCTGCTCCCTTACAGGTATGACCAAGGAAGGTCCTGACTGTTTGCCCGATGACTGGATAGAGTTGACGCCATGTTTCACTTTGAGAGCAGGCACAGATGTAGATTTTGGAAAGTGTGGGATCTGAGGTGAGTGTACTGTCTTCGGAATGAACGATCTTGAGTGTCCTGGGTGGAGCTGTGATTTTGTCTCCTTAGATATAAAACTTGGCATAAAAACTGCCTGGGGTGACCTAAAGCTGGTAGACTGTAAACACACACAAATAAAATCCTCAGTTATTAACAAATTATATAATGATTAAGTAGTCTATTAGAAACAATTTAACATTACATAGATTCTTACCAGGATAGAGATTTTCTTTACACATCTCTTTATACCAGAAACCATCCAACTCAGATTCTAATAAGTATCAAAATTGGTTGAATTTAGTAGATACATACACGATACATGTATCCTAATTCAAATTGATGCAGATTGGACCGTTAAGGTGCATCACAAATAGAGAGTCAAGGTATGATAATCAAGAGGTCTCATATAGTTAATTGTCTACTGCAAAGAGTATACAAACTGTCACATAGTACTTTCCTAAACATACAAATAAAAAATATACCTGCGGTGAGTGTGAGGTGGGTGTGGTAATGCTTTGTGTCCCCATCCTCATAACAAGAGGTGAGACCCTGCTCTGTGTGCTGTCATTAGCAACAGGAACAGGTGTTATATTTTGTTCAGCAGGCGAAGAGGGAGGGGCCCTTGTCTGTAAGCTGGGAGAGAGTAGAGAAGCATTGATATGGATCTCAGACATTCTAGTCACTGGGATCTCTTCAGCAGTTGTCAGTTGAGGTGTCGATGCTTGCTGGTGAATACTCTTCATCACAACATCACATGCAGGAAGTGACTGCGTGTTCATGCTAACAGTTAGCTCTTGAATCTCTGCAGAGTTGTTGATATTCACACCAGTTTCAGCCTTGTTGTTGTAGATTCTACAAGTAGAAGCAGTTAATCATCTGCATATTTCAGGTTACCAATGACATCAGTTTCTTAACTATTATTCCTCATCTTGAATACCTCAGGTTTACATATTTAAATTTGAATACAGGTGGGACAAGAGACTGAAAAAATGAGCCATGATTACACTCCATCCAACAGCCTCCTCATATAACATACATTTATATTGGAGAACTGTTCTATCTTTGAAGAACTAACTGATTATTGAACTTCCTTATTCCTTGAATACTATTGATATAGGGATTCATACCTTCATCAAGTACGTCACTGGCAAAACAAGGTACCAGATTTGTCACTAGTAGCTGGAAACAGTTCATCTTTTCAACTGAATTAGGATTTATCTTCAATACATTTAGACATGGAGTAACTAAGATGCATTATTATTTCTCTGAAGTGACAAATGGAATTTGTAGAATGCTGCTGAAAGAATAAAAAGTCACAAGGGATCAGTCACTTGGTTGACCATGAGTCATTATACCTGAATGATGATGCTAATTGGTCACATTATCAACCACACGTAATGTCTCAGGCCCAGACTTGATTATTTACAGTATGTAATCATCAAACTGAAATACTGCAGAAAACAAAGTATTATAATCAGGCAGACATACCCTATCATGGTGGACATATCTTCTCCAAAGCTGTCATCAGAAATGTTGGCTGGCTGTTCATCAGTCCCCTGTCTAGCTATTACATCTGTTTCCTGATAAATAACAAAACAGAATAAGCTTATGTCAATTTTAAAGGTTGTATAGTAAGTAGGATTTCATCAGTAGCATTATGTCAGCTATGTATACAGCTGTGAATGAAGACAAAGCCATGTAATGTATTGTAGAACACAAATACATCCAGGGTAGTGAAACCAGTGGTTCATGTCTTGTGTGTGGTGGCGCGTGGTCCTGTGCTCAAAGCTCAGGTCACAAATCGGTGAAGTTAAGCAGCGTCGAGCTCGGAGAGTCCTTGGATGGGTGACCGTGTTTGGCAGCTTGACTCCTGAGAGTTTCTAGGACTTGAGTCCTGCCCCACAACGTGACACATGTGGTCTCACCTTAGGCAAGTGAGTTTGTTCAAAATTGTCTCTGTTCACCCAGCAGGAAAATGGGTACCCGGTGGAAAAAGTCATATGACTATAACCTTCTAGCGCCTAACAGGCAGCTTGGGTTATCCGGGGTAATAATGTGCTGTGCCTTGCTTGTTAGCGCTATGAGCATACCTAGTGTGGAGTTTGGCGCTATATAAATGGACACATTAATTAATTAATTAATGGCAGTAAACCAGGTCACACTATAATTCGATCATTCTTAAGACAGCTCTTACAACATGCTCTGGCCCTGATCCTGGGAATCAAGGGTGTGTCAGGGTCTCTTTACCTCCTCTTGTCTGGAGTGCTTCTCTTGAATCTCCCCCAGCTCGGCCTCAAACTGAGTCTTCTCCAACACAGCATGTTCGGTGTCCAGCTTCATCTCAGCACTGGCAGGTATAGGGATATAACTACCTGCCGTATACCTTTGATGTTACAGGGGTAGGGGGAGACAACTGGGGATATTTTAGCTGTTGCATAAATACAATACCTTATTCAGTGTTAAACAGCAATGAGTCCAGCACTCCTGCAAGATTCTGTTTCCACCACTTATGCCAAATCATCGTGGCATTTCAAGAAACTAAAATATATTGAAAATACCATCAAGATAGGTCTCATAGGATGCTTGGTTTTTGGAATAGACTATCTGTAGTACTAGATAACTAGAATGATATGAGTACTGAGCGCAACTAATAGCTAGCCCATCTTAATCCATGTATTTCTGTGAAGGATACAGCTTGATGATGAATTTGTTCAGGTTTTTAAAGCTGACCTCTGATCCTCCTGAAAAATGGAAACATCAGAACAGTATATGGAATTATTTCTTGAATTTCTTAACATCTTCTACAGTGGATTGAATTTTCAATAAAGATTGGTATTATTATATGCTCAATGGTGTCCAAGATATGTTTGACCTATAGGATACAATAGGATACAAGGACCATGTGTTTGCAGTCTGTAACTTCAGCACCAGTCTGAAGCCTAAGTCATGACAATTTTCTTCCAGTCTAAAATAGATCATCTGGACAAAGCTCATACATCAGAGAATATTACAACAAAAATCCATAGATGTCAAGAAAGAAGGTTGGGTGTTTAAACCCGAAAGTTCTTGGCACAGACTTTCTATGAAATTACAAGAATGACATCTGAGTGACGAAAATGGCTGCCTCAAAAGCAGGAACTTGCACAAGACGTAGAAGCTGGAGCCAAAATGCTTTGGCACTAATATTTTTTAACTGGTAACATATTGTCATGACATGGACCCCATTACTAGACAAGCCAACCCCAAATTGAGGCAATGTCTCAGTGATAATATCATCTAAGTACCGTAATTGTGACACAAACATAACCATGGTGTATGGTATCAATGATAACAAATCATGTCTTGCATTTTACTTCACCATCAAAACTCTTTAAAATCTGTAAACCTTACTATCACATGCTGAACAATTAATTATTTGTTGTATACATAATAATTCCCACAGTGAGATCAAAATTGAGTTAAATCAGTGGCATTGCACACAATTTGGACTATACTTGATACTATTGGTGAAATTACATTAAAAATATTGTAATGAATTTACCAAAGTCATAATGGTTGACATTCCTGCATCACTTCCTGGATTAATTTCAAACACAGCTCAATACATCCATCCATATAGGTGTCATGTTTCGACGTGAAGTCTGACTGAGATGCTGTCCACCTACCTTGTGCCTCATCAATCTGTCTCTTTAGAGTGTTGATTTTATCTTCAGTTGCTTGCAGGATTTGTTCCTTGGCAGCTATCTGCTCCCGGTACACTGCCAGATCCTTCACTAAGGGAAATGTCTTGTACTTCACCATATAGTCAGCATAGATGTCTTCATAGTGTTTCACCACACCTTCATGCTGGAGTCTATACAAGGCGAAAAGTGTTTGAAATTAACATGAAATTAATGGGCCCTTATCATGACCATTTTGTTTAAGTTAAAGATTTTGAGGGTCCTAGATTTTTGCAAACTTCAGTGCCACATGATTTTGAACACTGGTGAGTGAGTGGATGGGCGAGTGAGTGAGTGAGTGAGGGAGGGAGGGAGGGAGGGGGGGAGGGAGGGAGCGAGCGAATGCCTCTTGAACACTATTTCAGTTGTATGTGATCTGTCATCTCAGAGTGTGAAGAAACCTTTTCAAATCATGCCCAGCCACAAAGATGAACACTTCTTTTGTTCATCCTCCAGAAGGCGGCCTTGACCCAAGGCAGAAATCACATGTACTTGATATGATATCCCTGAGATGTCAAAGAACTACCTTATTTATTTAAAAATACCCACAAAACATTAAAGTTAGACAGAACCTTAACACATCCCCAGTTACTACTTAACTACAGTTACACATAATATATTTCTAGCCCATATTGCTTCAACATACATGTAATGAAATCCCACTGAACCATATCGCTCTACCTTTCATCTTCTCCATTGGCAATGAGGCAGTTCAGCTTTCTGTTGAGGGCCACTTCATGCTCCATTAGGACCACCATCGTCTTCCTCAGACTGAACACAACCACAGGCAAAGACAGTATACAGTATCACACAATATCTGGCAATATACCAAGGTACTACACTCATGGTTTATAGTTATAAACTTAGATACATGTAGTACATGTAGTTATATATAATTCCTGTTAAGATAATAGTAGCAGATACTAATTCTTCGAATCTTTCCATTAAAATTATTTTAAGTTATATTATTGGTAATTGTTTACCTGAATCACAGGTAGATTTGGAGATAATGTGTGTACAGCTGATAGCTTCCTTTTCTTTTCTCCTGACTTAGTTTACGACACAAATTACTATTAATTATTGTTATCAAAACTATTAACATGCATTTACACGATCCACACAGAACTACAGCAAAATACAAAATTGGACTCTGAGGATTACTTTTCACATCCAAACAGTTTTTCTCAGATAGTTTAAGGAGTCATATTTGACACCAACTTTTTGTACAGAGTTTTATTTGAAAATAATGTCCAGATGTAAGATATTCTGGCAATGGGAGAGCACATTTATTGTATGATATTCTAAAACAACTGGTTTGTACATATTAACAATCAACTACATTTATAGTCCTGGCAGCCTCTATTATCCAGTGTAACATATCTCTTTCTCCCTCATTTAGCATGAAAGTCTAGGGATCTTAAACGTTAAAGATTTTTGATTTAATATTATGGCAGCAAATCTCACGGACAATACAGAGTATTCCCAATCATTAGAAAAGGGATATTTTACACTAGGTAATTGAGGAATTTGTTTTCAGTATTAAATATAAGCCTTGCTCCAGGTATGTCTTGAATAATATATATATATATCCAAGGATGAAATTCTAACTAAAGCAGGAAAGTCCAGATAAGTTGTCATTACAATCTGAGGGCACCAGTGTTTTACAGGGATTTGTCCTTATTACTTAAATATTCTAGAAATTATGATGCCAACTAATAATTATTGTCTTGGAGACTTGTGCAGGCTAATCTAAAGGTGAACTATAGTCTGTTTGCAGTGAAAACGTACTGATGAATTTCACTCTAAACAAAATGGTAAATCGAATAAAGTGAAATTAAGATTGAGAATCCTCATAATTTTACCTTGCCAATTGAACTTAGGATAAAAGTTGTTTAACAAACGATCATAGTTTCAAATCGCTATTATTGGTTTGTATTACAAGGGGGTATGCACTTTAAATGAAACATCGAGAACAAGTAGGGTTGGTGTAAGTTAACGCTCATCACGTACCGCACGTGCATTTGTTTCACTGTTCCATCTCCTGTGCTCACCCCCTTGTAATACAAATCAATAATATCGATTTGAATCTATGATCGTTTGTTAAACAACTTTTATCCTAAGTTGAAAAACATTCTGAGATTTAAATGTTCATTTGGCAAGGTTAAATTATGAGGATTAGCAATCTTAATTTCACTTAACTTGATTCACTTTTTTGTTTAAAGTGAAATTCATCAGTACGTTTTCACTGCAAACAGACTATACACTTGATGAAAAAACAGTTTTTCCCATGCACAGAACAAAAGTCAGTGGTGCTAAGAGTTCCAGAACACTTATCTTCATGCTAATCCATCTGATTCTTTTACTAAGCTACTATCTCCAACACATAATATGTATGTATGTTGCATGTACATACATATGTATGTGCCAGTCTAGTAAAGATACATCTCAACCAAGGTTGATTATGAAACTTGACTTAAGCACAATAAGTTGGCACAAACATCTGGCCAATCTACCTTACACTTGCCTGAGTTATCATTTACCAGAACTATTACAACTTCGTACAGGAAGATGAACAATTCATTACCTCTTTATAGTACATATGGGAATAGAATCTAAAAATGACTAGAATAAGGAGAACATTTTATCACCATGATATTGTATTCACATAATAGGTCTTCTTCACATGTAGCACAGAGTCATTAAGTCTCAAGAAGTGTCTGTAAAGATAATTACAAGCTTGAAAGAATCTAATTCTGAAAGTATTCACTCACAACTGTGTCCCAATAATTCACAAGTGACAATGAAAAGAATATGGCTTCACAGATGTTCTTCCACTTGGCTCATGACATTAACCAAGATGAGTGTCAGACTCTCGAAAAAATTACACTCTCTTTTTCAAAATGTAAAAAGTTGATTTACGAGATCTATGAACTCTGTTCAGCAAAAGCACACTTTTTGCGAACAGTTAAGTGGTAATTAGACGATAATTACCACATGTAACTAATTCTCAATACATGCTAAAAAGAGGCAGGAAAATTATTAGTGTAAGTGTAAAGTTACACACTGGGGAAGGAGGGACACTGCATGTGCCTATGATCACGAATGTTGTCTGAAAATAAACCAGAGTATGATGCAGTGTAACTAGAAACTGAATGGGTCACTGCTGTGTTTGATAGTATAATTACTATTGGGCTATTATCACCTGAACATTAACAATAGAGGTCTCAAATAACCACAGTTATTATGAAGATGATCTGTTGATATTCTCAGGCTATAATGAAGCATCATTTACCTGTATGACGTCCCGGGGATACAAATTAACACTTGCCTTCCAGCCAAAGTCACTTCATCTGATATTTAAAGGTCACATGCAACGTAAAACACAACTTTGCAGATTCTGATACCTTTCGGTATGGACTTACCGAAACAAAGTGTCAAAAATGCAAATTCAACTTATAAAGTTGAAAAATAACGCCATGAAAAAACCCGCGTGAAATCGGAGTTCAAACGTTTCACTAATTTTCCCCAGACTTTTCTGGGGAATACGGGTTTCACCAGCTGGGCTGCGCTCATAGCACGTGCGCAGTGAAATAGGTTCGCACTTGGAAGCGGGCTGTCTGGTGAATACTCGGTGAAGGCTTTGGTGCGAGCTATTTTCCTAATGTTTTGTTGATATCTCACGAAGCGAGCTTTTATATGTTATGACAGTAAATAAACTGTTTATATAATTTCATTTGTCTATTTCACCACACGTTCTTCTTACCGAGTCACTTTCTCAGTTCGATACTTAAAAGCAATGTCATTATTTAGAGCTGACACAATTTCTAACTGTGATATAGATATGTCGCTGTCACAGACAAAACTCAATGTCTTGTTTTATTGACACCTGTGTGTCTGCCTGCCTGTCTGCTAATGACAATATTCATGCACAACTGCGATCACTGACCACATGCAATTTGAACTTAACACCAATCAGGCTATACACCATAAACAAAACGCATTGATTTATGGCCCAAGTTCGGTCTCTGTCACATTATGTAATTACTCAGACAGGCAGGTGTGATACTTGAACACATGACATGTTATGATGTCTGTTGATTGCAAAATGTTATACACAAAAAATGAGCATGTATATACAAAACCCAACATCTCTATATATACACACACAATGAGCCGTGAAGGCGGCATCTGCTAATGAACCAGCCGTTACACTTGTGTGCACACCCACCCGCTCTGACTGGGTTCGGTATCCCGGCTGCTTCGTTTCGAGGGAGGTAAACCCAAGTACAAAATATTGCACTTTTGATTTGCGATTATACGCTTATAATTTTGTTTATTTGTTTTTTCATAATCAGCAATGCATATTATATGTCATGAAGAAGTGATAATTGTGTTTTAATTATGTTTGATTTTTTGGTTGCATGTGACCTTTAAGGGTTATAGAGTTTCAGTGTTTTGAGGGTATGCCTTTTTACGCAAAACTGGCCAGATGTCTTTGGAATGAAATGAAACTGCATCACAAGGCTTTATCGGCCATTATCAGCAGGTACCATGAAATAAAATCACAAATCTCTCTTTTCTGTACTTCTTACATTGAGGATACTGCTTAAATACTATTTTCAAACTGAAAATGTTGGAAAAATTATTTGAGCTCATAAACCGAATCTCACTTGAGTGGCTTTTAATATGAAATATGTCAGTACTTTTCTGAAGCTGGATAGCTGTACTTCTTAATTTGAGGATACCGGATATTCCTATTTACAAACTAAAGATGTTGGAAATATTGTTTTGGACGATAAATAGACTCTCACTCGAGTGGCTTATGATATGAAATATATCATTATTTGTTGATAAATGTATGCGGTTGCATGGATGACCTATTAGGTTTTGGCTATGACTGACAAACACTCGGGTGAAAATATCTACATATTTCAGAAGGAAAACATTTCAGGTTCTGTTGCCTCCATGATTCTGCAATATCAACTGAAATGTTTGACATGCAAAACACTGTTCTGTTACTTAAACTGTTTCAAAGACCTTCAAAACAAATCGTAATTCCTTTATTGTTTTACAGTGTAAATATGTTTGCATCCCTGCACTGACTGTTCAATGTTTCTTTCTTCATTTCTTAATACAGCGGGGTGGTGGGGTAGCCTAGTGGTTAAAGCGTTGGCTCGTCACGCCGAAGACCCGGGTTCGAATCCCCACATGGGTACAATGTGTGAAGCTCATTTCTGGTGTCCCCCGCCGTGATGGAATATTGCTAAAAGCGGCGTAAACCCAAACTCAGTCAGTCAGTCATAATACAGCTCTCAAAAACATGGTGATGGTGGCTTGAAAATAATTTAGTCTGTACAGGGCTAGAAAAATACTTACTATATATTTTGTTTATCCACAAACATTATCTGCCACAGAGTTGTCACTTTGTATATAATGGTAAAAGTGCTGGTTATCACTCATAATATGCACATTGATAATCGGAGCTCAGAAATTGATCAATAATCGATTGTTATCATAAAACCAACCACAAGACTCACTTGGGCAATGACACAATGATAATATAGTGCAAATGAAACAGGTACCAATTCATACCACAATCATGACGATCAGGAATAATTCTTGTTAAGACACACACATGTGTGTATGTTGTTTACATTGCAGTTTTACGGATCAGGAAACTGCATCCATTGTTTATGTCTTGATTTAACTAATATAAAAATATGAAAATACTTTCTAAAGTTTTTGATATTTCATTTTATGAATATTGATTAGTCTACCGAGTCCATCGATAATCAATAATCGCTGACCGAAGCGAGGTGAATGTTTACTGAAAGAATGTCATTATAGTACATCCTGAATTTTACTGGAACTGGACTATGAATGAAATAAGATGATCCCAGTTTTAACCAGTTTATTTGAGAGGATTTCCTCTGAAACATGCATTCTTAACAGATGTCTGTATTATTTTACTTTCTACTCTCATAATCTACACAAACAGACTCTAGACTGAAAACAAATAAATGTGAAAAAGCAAATTTTGAACAAAAATATACATTCTACCTTTCACAGTTGTCTCTGTTCAGGGTAAACTGTTTGTGAGCACGTTTTGTGTCCTCATCAAGTTGAGAAATAGCTGCTTCCAGCTTGAATGTTTCCCTTTCCCTCTCCTCAATTTCTCTTTCATAGGCTGAGAAAATATAGCATCAAAAGATCTTCAAACCCAAGTGTTTATAATGATGCTGGGTGAATGAAAATTCTACTTATGCAAGGTGACTGGTCTGATTGAAATGCATTGATGATAAGTTAAGGTATACATTAGTCAACATCTATGTCATACGACACAGCTGATACCCTTGATAGGCTTACCATCATGAACAAATATTGTCACACACATTCATTTCAACATCCTGCTTGAAGAACCAAGGGTGTCCATTAACAATTCTTAATTTTATATCAGACAGTAATTGCAGACACCCTTATAGGAACCTCAAAACCAGTCTGCTGAAACCTGGCCCGGAATCGGCTGAATGTTAGGCGTTGTCATTATGTCATATAGGATATTAAAGGAAGAGCAGGCAGGTAAATGCTTTATCAAATTCATGTGTTTGCCACACAGATATTTCATTATAGTTGACATTTCAGCTAGTCAAATTTGAACAGGGCTACAGATAAGGGCCGTATCGGCGTATGTACGAATAAAAAATATACACGATACGGTAGGAAATAATTTAGAAAACGTAGCAGATACGCACCACAGCAATTGTGTACAGTCTTAGAATCATTTACAGACATATTTATCTGAAAAAGTATTGTTTAATTGTTTATTGACCGTTTACACCAGAGTTGCAATGCTGCCATGCATATATGAAACGAAGCACAAGTTTAATGATACACCATTAAATTCCATTCAGTACTCTAAATGTACTCTTATTGTTTTCCAGTACTCATATATTGAAAAAATAAGGAGTACGTACTCCTGATGTTGAAATTTTTTTCTGGAGCCCTGTTTGAAGATTCAAATATTCAGTGGATGAATTCATTAAACAACATAATCTCAAGTAAAGGAAAAAATGTACCCTTACACAGGAAAATAAGCGCAATACATACATTAATACCATCGTTCAATCACAGTCACCCTGTCTGTGAGTCACATTTTGATAATAGCAGGAACATCTGGCTTCTTACCTTCAGTTTGCTGATTCTCTTTTTCTATTAACTTCACATACTGCTTGTTTTCAAATTCTGCAACAAAAACCATCTCGACACCATGAGGATCATTAGTACAAGGAGGGACAATAGGTAATGGTATTTAATAAATGATCATTGTAGGTTCTTGTACATCATACGTTTTCAGAGGGCAGTGCTTACTCCTGCTATAGCAAGGGGTGATGCATCACATAGACACTGCAAATTCTTGAATAATGGTTCATATTTAGGATAATGAAAAAAATGAAAACTAGCACAAGATCCTATTTAAAAATAGATATAGGCCTACAATCAAATCATATTAATTGATTATAAATTTATCTGCCTTTATAAAGCAAAAGACACTATTTTGACATATCCTTACAACTGGTGTGATCTAACTTTCAGTACAAATGTATGGATGAATTGATATTACCACAACTCTGAATCAGTCTGTCCAAGTCCATAACTGTACCATCATTGAGAGCCATGTTAATCTTCTGCCACAGAAAAAAGATAATAAAAGAAAGTATAAACTCAGTTGAAAGGTGAAAGTTCTAAAAGGTAGCTGTATTATTCATCTGACAGATGGAGAGCAAGGCATTGTCTAACTAAATCATTCAAGAGACGATTGTGAAATGTATTTGCTGTATCTTGTCATTGTCAATCACAACGTTATAATAATATTTCACAATTCATTCTTCTTATTAGGCTGTACATTTAATCACAATTAAGATCAATCTTTGAAATGATACTTCTTTATCAACCAGTTGATCTAAATTTAGTGATCACCTAAAGAAACCTTTCATCCAAAGCTATCGTCTGCAAGGTCGCCCAAATTCAAGAAGGATAACTCTGATGACTCTTTTTTTAAGCTCCCTACACAGAAACTGTTTAGGCGTTGTTAGGAGTTTCTCCATGTTTTCCTGTGAGTTCGATCATTTAAAGGACATCGTTAGCAAATAGTAAATCTGGGGGAAAGATCAACAACTGCGCTGATACTGGGCACCCCTGCGCAAAGTCTTACCATACCACTCGCGTCCTTAATCATGTGGATTGAGGGCCGATATACATCTTCAGAAAGAGTAACATCGGAGCCATTAGAAATGGATGTTCATAGTGGCTGATTATGTTGCATCGTACTCCGATGACATGGGGCGTTACTCCTGCCTGACCAAGACTAAACTGTTTACAGGTGGACGTGATGCACATGTAATTTTGCTTTCTGCGTCCAAAGACAGTATTCATTTAGTCACTGGATCAGTCGGTAACCTTAAATGGTTAAATACCACATGCGGTGCGACAATATCAGTACAATATAAATAAGTAACTTTTAAATCCCCCCAAAAATTCTAGTCTTTCTGGTCTGTCAAATGGACACATTTTGATAGCTTTATTTAGACACCCCATACATATCCAAATGGTTTGAAACGTCAATACAGATACATTACTTTTTTTCATACTAAATTCGATTAATATTTCTTTTCAACGTTCAGTCGTTATTCTGGCCTTAATTAAGAGTTTATGTTGTTTTCATACGATATAAGAGTAGATTTTCCCTTAAAATATGCTTAAAATAATATCATTACTCATTTTAGTGTGGAAAAGGATGGAGAAATGTCTTCATTTCTTAAAGTTTCTAGACCTTTCTGTAAACGAAGAATCGTTTTGGTATTTGAACTGACAATTTTAACCTTTAACCTTTCACCTCAATTCGCTCTCACCTATAGTTTAACACCTGGAACAAAGTACTTCTAAAAGAATCGATAGAGATCATAGCGTGAAATCAATAATAGCTTAGGTAACAAGTAGCTCTTGAAAATTCACCAGCTAGAAATCCCAATGTAATGTTTTTGCCAAAAGAAATCCCCGCACAGGCAAAGGCAGTACAGTAACAGCGTATGAATAAGTCAATTCAGAAAGATTTACTCGACGGGAGCACCCGACATCACGAAAACTCGTTTTATTGTGCAATACTAACACGCGACACGGAGTACAACTTTGAAGTGGTTTACAATGACTTCAAAACTATTCCCCAGGCAGAATGTGAATTAACTGTGACGATGACACGAGACTGGGACGGTGACCCCATATATATAGTTAAACATGTCTCTTCAAGCAACTAACCAGCCCTTTATGTTTTCAGAGAACTGTCCCGAACGTGTCGAGGCCTGACGCTATTTAAAGCTCCAAGTCGCCTGACGAGGACCTCTTTCTTCTAGTATACAGAGGGGGTGGGTGACGGGGATTTACCCTCGGGTTCGCGTAGTACTTTTATACCCAGATAATGTACTTATATACTTTATTTCGCGATCTCTTTTCAGGCACAGCTAAACATAACATTTTGCATTGTTTCCACCTGCAGTGCGCAGTCCTTATTATCCCTGTGAGAAAGTCTTGATACCTACTTGGACTAGAACTCTTTCTTCAACGACCCGGAATGTACAAAATCGCTTTTCATTTTATATTATAAATTTTAATTTAACTCTATTATTTGTTTAATGTTGTTTTTTTTATAGTTCGGTGAACATACAAAGAAATCATGCTGAACAAAAAATGAGGTTTGAAGAAATGTTCATTGATCTTTTGTAATCGATGATGAAATCAGTCAACTATACCCTGAAGCTAGAAATGACGAGTTTGTGTTCTGTAAAGGTTATTTTGTTTTGCAAATCTCTGCATGTATAAAACTGTTAGTCAACTGGGTAATCGGATTGATTAAAACTAATTACATGTGTGTAATGAACATATTTGAAAACATACCCGTGAAGGTCCGGGTTAGAATATTGATCTTCAGTAACCATGCTTGTCGTAAGAGGAGACTAACGGGATCGGGTGGTCAGGCTCGCTGACTTGGTTGACACATGTCCTCGGTTCCCAATTGCGCAGATCGATGCTCATGCTGTTGATCACTGGATTGTCTGGTCCAGACTCGATTATTTACAGACCGCCGCCATATAGGTGGAATATTGCTGAGTGCGGCGTAAAACTAAACTCACTCACTATTCGAAAACACAATAGTTCATCTGTTGATTGATTTTACCAAAGGTATTTCTCGATGAAAAGGTCGAGTCGAAAGTGACATGTATGAAACCAAACAGGAGATTATGCTTCTAATCTGAAACATCTAAACCTCATCCTAAGACGATTTCACACTTCTGAAATACCTGAATCTGATCATGAGATGGCCTTACGCTTGAAAACTGAAATATCTGAATCTGATCATAAGATGCTTGAAAACTGAAATATCTGAATCTGATCATAAGATGGCATCACGCTTGAGAACTGAAACACCCTAATCTCATCCCAAGAAGATTTTATACTTCTGAAACATCAGAAGACGACGCTTCTTAACTGAAACACCTGAAGATGGCGTTAAATGCTTCTAATCTGAAACATCAGATAATGATAATCAGAAAATGCGACTGAAGCAGCAGCATACATCCAGTCTACAGTAAAGGTGAAAAACTGTGCTCATCTGGACTAGCATTTCTTCAAATAAAATCCGAGGAACATCGATAAAATAAAAACATATTCGTCGTGAAATCCGGACTTAATCCCATTTAAACCAGTCAGATTTCGCTTATTGACACTGTGTATATTTATATATTCTATTTATTATTATGTATCTGTTTCATTTGTTTTTGTATATAAAGTAATTGTATTCGCTCTTGTACCACCAATCGTAGTTATCTGAGAATAAAATGATTGATTGATTGAGTGTTTTTTTCCCACTATCACTATCACAAGAATGATTGCCTAATCTAGACCTGCTCAGCCCAAGACATCTTTTAAATTGTCTTTAATTTGTCTGTAGAAATAAGATTTCGGGGACTAAATATCAGTCTAATACAAAGGAGTGACACACTTCATATCCATTGTCCACTATGATGAGTGTGCATTATAGTATTTCGGTTTGTGTCGTCTGCGCGTCTCACATTTCACCAAAAGTCCTTCCGGCTGTGTGCTGCGAAGTATATATGTATGTTTTTTCGGGCCTCTTTAATTGCTGACATCTTTTTAATTCTGATCGATTTCCGATTGTAGATAGAAAGAAAGACTACGAGTAACATGAAGATTACCATGATTTATGTCGTCTGCTCAAGAGTAATTTATCGTCTGCTCTGACATCCGAGTCGACTGCTGCTTAATTAAAGGTAGGCGAAGTCATTCGATATGTAGATAGCTGAAGATCTTCATCTTCCCTGGTCGAGTTAATATTTAATCTCTTACTCCGCCTTTATTGATTTCATTGTCTGCGTCAGCAATGGTAGGAGCTGGAGAGAGAGAGAGAGAGAGAGAGAGAGAGAGAGAGAGAGAGAGAGAGAGAGAGAGAGAGAGAGAGAGAGAGAGAGAGAGAGAGAGAGAGAGAGAGAGAGAGAGAGAGAGAGAGAGAGAGAGAGAGAGAGAGAGAGAGAGTGAGCATGTATTTAGATCCAAAATCCCAATCAAGTCTTTCTAAATATATTAGCCTATCAATCTACTCATGTGCGACACACACGTCTTTCGTCTCAAGTTGAACAGTCGTGCGCTTCATTTTCGTGGATTGCCCAACGGGGTTCATCCAAACCCACAAGGCCACACGTCACCATGAAACATGTATGACGCAAAGAATACACGCCCACACGCGTGACACTTTATATCTATGAGAATAAAAACTTAATTATGGCGGTGCAAATGCATTTATCGTAATATCCATGTCAATGTATATCGAATGACAGCTTAGATATTGTGTAACATACAGTAAAAAATGCACTTACACATACATGTATGTACTCGTCAAATTTTGATCATTCAAATATATGTGTATAGGGTAACTGATAATACATAGGAAAAAAACAACATTCAAAGTAGGGATCTCTGGTGACACGAGATGTATCAGTAGGAATATAAAGCCTGTGTCTTCAGGCTACTCGTTTGTAAACTGCAATGTTGACATATTTCAAATGTAACACGCTTTATTATAGGGCAGTCTAAGTAAACGCAGGCAGGGGCGGATACAGCTTTTTGAGAAAGGGGGGTGCACACTATTGAGGAAAGGGAGGGTGCACACTTCATTAGTGCATAGTGATTTTGCTGTGTTTTTTCTCTATAAATCAAGCAGTATCTCGATAATATGTAGTTTTTTGTTTAAAAAATACTTCTTGCAATATATTGCAATACATATCGCAATACATGCTTTTGCATTGCAATATATCGCAATATGAATATTCTCTGCAATACCCACCCCTAACGAGCATTGATCTACGATGTTGGGATCTGCCTAACAACCAGATATCGTTTGTGACCCATCAAGTCGCCATATGACTGAAACAATGCCGATGTGACTTTAAAATTGAACTTGTGTCCCTCCCGGCAAATATGGGGCGCTTAAGATCAATTTTAACCTTGATCTTTCTTCCTCTATATATGTGAGGTGGATTCAAAACTACTACAGGGCGGTGGGGTAGTCTAGTGGTTAAAGCGTTGGCTCGTCACGCCGAAGATCCGGGTTCGAATCCCCACATGGGTACAATGAGTGAAGCCCATTTCTGGTGTCCCCCGCCGTGATATAGCTGGAATATTGCTAAAAGCGGCGTAAAACCAAGCTCAGTCAGTCAGTCAGTCAGTCAAAACTACTACATGTAAATAACCCCGATACAATATCAGGTGCAGCTAATTTGTGGGTGAGTTGATATTTCTCAGTTATATATGTCAGGTAAAAAGTGTAAGTGTTCAAACTTGTACCTCTTACGAGCGAGAACAAACCTTGACACGCAACGAGATCGAACCGGGATTCAAATCCACGAGGGACGGCGAAGCAGTCGTTAAAGCGTTAGCTCGTCACGCTGAAGACCCGGGTTCG